CTCCAGTGCCTTGGTCTTGCATTGCTCTTCTGTGAATTCGCCTGCCTGGCTTTGAAAAGAGGGTACCATAGGGTACCCAACACTCCCATGGCTAAAACCATGTCCGCCACTCCCCTATTTTTCGACTATATATATATATATAATCAAATTTGATTAAATTGAGACCCCCCTTTGTTGGACATACAGTAACCAAATGAATTATGTTTAAATTCCTCCCACAATCGTGTTCACTGAAGGCCTTACCGGGTAATTCAGATTCATCTTCATCTGTGCGCTGGTTGCATCTGGAATTCAGACTCATTTTTCATCGATGTTTCCAGAATACACAGGGAACTCAATATTTTTGTTACCAGATTTTACCATGTTCAGAATATGAAATACACTTCCAGAATGCATCAGGAATACATGTCTGTTTCCAGAATGCAATTGGAACACAGTATCCAACTTTATCATCCTCAGAAATGCACCTCCGAAATACACTAGGAATACACTGGAAATCATAAAAAATATCAAAAAAATGACCTTGACTTCTGCAATGAATTTTGTATTTTTTTGTAACCCAAGCAATGCCAGCCTGGGCTTGCTGTGGCTCTTGCTCAGCCGGGTTTCCGGTGAGGTTGATGCCTCCTCATCTCGAAGAACACGACTCTCCCAGTGTGATGGGATCTATCTCAGGATACAGTGAAAGGATGTGAAAGGATGTGAAAGGGTGTGAAAGAATGTGAAAGGATGTGAAAGGATGTGAAACGACATCTGGGCCACAAGAAATGTGGTGCTAAGGCCGATGCTTACAAGTCTGGGAGCGAAATATACGGCTGATTGAGTGAGTTACATGGGCACTGGCTGGCACAAGCATGCTCGGGATTGAAGGGGGAGGGCCGAAGCGAAACTTAGACTTGGCTGGGGAAAGGACAACAATGTGTAAAAAAAACGTCATCCTTTCCCCTCTACAAAATTTCTATTTTGGGGGTATACGGTCTTTAAATTCAATAGAAACAACCAACCATCAATCAACCATCATTCAACTATCATTTCATGCTTTTGTCCCTCTTAAAGTCTCTACGTTTTTTCTCCATTCTGGGACCAACCCATCGGTTTCCCCGGAAACCTCTCCGCCGGCTTCGACCTCAGGGATGACATGTCTTGATTTCGAGGATATGAATGTGATATGTGGATATTTATGTATATGTGTGTATATATATATGTATATATTCAACATACATAATTATATAATAGTATATCATCATATTATCATCATATATCACATATCATATAAATAAATGTTAATATTATAATATTATGTGTATAAGCCATCTTGAAACATCCTAAACCCATCAGTGAAGGTTAACCCAAAGTGCATGTTGACACCCAAAAAAACTGCCCCAATGGCACGCTGTCGAGGTCATAAAAAGTGAGTCTACCTATGTCAATGTAATCATGGATAGCCACGGATAACCACTTTCTGATAAATATTCAAGATTTTACACGGACTATATATAAATATATATATATATAGTTGGATTTTGGAGTCAGGAAAGAAGGGTTGAAATCTGGAGTTCGGCGCTACCCCGTAATTCGAGCCAGTTTGTCTGAAAATTTAGGCTAGTATCCGCAAATCCAATGGATTATCGTGTTCCACGTTAAAATATACCCCATGTCCAGCCATCCAGCAGTGGCAAGTTGCTTCGCTCCTTTGCTTTGGCATTGTGCTTCTCCTGTGCCCAATTTTCAGTCATACAGCAGGTACTTTAAACTTGTTGCCTTGTTGGGAGATGTTTGGAAACATCGAAAGATGCTCATAGATGCTCATTTCTTCATTCTCCTCAAATTCTCCCCTGATTTCTGATCCATTGCAAGGACTATGACTCCACGTTTCCAGACTTGGAATGGGTCGCTTGGCGTTCAGTCATGTTTTGCGGCGGAGCAGACCAAATGGCGGTATCTGCTATCAAGGCCGGATTGAAGTATTCCAGTTGATCCATCGCCACCAGGCTTCTCAATTTAGCATCTGTACCATGAAGACGACATGAATTCACGTTTCCAGACAGACCAACTTTTGGTGAGAAAAACGTATCTGACGTATCTATTGAACCCACCAGGCAATTCAGCAGCTTTGCTGCAGTGCTGGGAGGCGTCCATAAGGACCTGATGTGATAATTCAGCATCACGTTGATGTCTACATCGCTGTCTTGGACAGCAACCATCTGCCGATTCGGATCGATTTGGGATATTTGGGCGCGGCACTACCTGGCACATCACTGCTCATGGGAAATGACAGGCTCGCGTACAACAAATTCTGCTTCCTCTGTTGATAGGTTCAGACTTTTCGGCATAGCCCCTGCAGCATCCAAACGCGCTTCCCAGATTGCGCAATAGTATGGCAATTTATCACATAGTATGGCAACTTATCACATGGAACCTTGGTTTTTGACATCCCAAAACAGACCTAGTAGATGTAGATTCTGCTCAAATGTTCACCTCCTCTTTCTTGAGGGCTAAGAAGCTTTGAACATCTTTGAAGCATCTCAATTCACTATATATGTCATGAGTCATTACAAAAAAGAGATCGTGTGCTTGTGTTTGGTTTGTTTCTCACCTCCCTGCAGCAGTGAACACATTCCGCGTCACACAGAAAACTGACTCGATCCGCAAATGCACTGGACTCCTTGCACGTGCAGAGGATGAGAAAATGGATGGCAGATTTTGGATTTTACATGGTAAATTGATAAAGCACAATACCTTCCGGTAAACATACAAAAATATGCAAAAAAAGATGAAAAGATGTGGAAAAACCCACCATTTGTAGATCATTTTCCCATAGGGACACCATGTTCCACATCTTTGTGTATGTTTACCCTAGGATAAATCGAGAAAATTGATCCCTTATTTTGAGACAGACCGTGATAGGATCTGATAGAATTAGAATGAATTGGATCTGTCCAGGAAATAGGAGACCCAGGGCAAGAGGGGTTCCAAGCTGCTGACACGCGTGCCCTTGGAATGGATTTTGGATGTGCACCACTCAAATCCATGCATGTGTGATAATGTTTCGTGCAAGATGTCAGACTTTTTCAAATTCTGACCTTGGCAATGTATGCCACCTCCAAATCATAGAAATGCAGGTCTCTCGCCCTGCCTCTTCCATGCTATTCCTGCTGTTACAATATCCCACAAAAGAAGCAATATAAACAGAGGTTTCTCATCATGAAATTCTCGACATCCTCATCCACATCTTACTCACATTTATTCGCATCATCGGCAGCTGAGTGCAGCACCTTCAAAAGGTTCGGTTGTGAACAGCATTGCTGGAGGTGGAATGATTTGCTGCCGTCATGGCTCGATTGCCCGCAGGGCCCACACACAATGCCACTGCCTGCAATGGTGGCCATTGAGTCACCTTCTCATCTCAGGCGCTTCACTAGTCCAAAACATCTCCAAACTTAGACAATCACCAGAATGGTCCGAAGCATTCAAGACATTGATATGCACTTGACACAGGTAGATCATGCAGCTATATTCTTTCGTGAGCACGTTTGCAATACCAAAATCTAGGCCTTTAAGCATTTTAAACTCCAGCTCACTTTCTAGAAGATATTTTTTCATGCTTATCGTCAAATGATAAAAACATCTCTGACACATGCCGCAACCGGAGGCTGGACCCGTTTGACATTCTTGTGGGAGCCAAAGCTCATAGTGCTAAGCCTCAGGGGATGATCGATAAGAATCCTGCAGAGAAGGGGAAAAGCAAACATCCTCACCATACAGACAAGAGGCATAATCGGGCATGCATTCTGAATCCATGTTTGCCGGACAATTTCCTGTGCGTGTGTGTGTGCATGTTTAGTGCAGTTTCAACATGTTTCGTCCAAGAACAATGATGGCTTAGATGAGTAGCCTGCGTCCAAGACCATGGGGCCATGATGGGCCATTGACATTGGTTCCTGCTGCCGAGAAACTTGGTCATCGCGGCAACCATGTTCTGGACATCCATCTTCATGGATGAGATGTTCCTGTGGACCAGCAAAGAGCACCGGGTACCCAAGCGTAGATCCGAAGAACTACCCGGATACATCCGGATACCCAAAAACTTTCTCAATAGCTTCACCGTGAACACTCGCTGATTTGGGATATCCAAAAGCTTCGTTTTCCAGCCCCCGACCCTGACAGTTCACGGTCAACGGTCATCCAAGTGAGTGGATTGACCCCAAGGAATGTGGTAAATAACAAACGATACCAAGCAGCCAAATGTTGCCATTTCTTTTCGGTCAACATACCTCTATCATCCTATATCATATATCTACCTAATTGATCCTAATTGAGGATATTGAGGATGAGGTTTATTATGGTTTATTGACATTAAACTTGACAGTAAACCACTGGTCACTGGAAGCTCAGCTCCAAAAATGCGGCCGGCCTTTCCATGTTGTCCACCCGCTCCTGGCCGGGAAACGACGAATCTGTGACCGTTTGGGATGTGGACCCCACTACAAGATCGTCGTTTGATGTCAGTTGGGATCATCCTCCAAGGTAGGGTGGAAAATGTTGAAGATAAAAACTCCAGCCAGTTTTGAGTGCTGGGTTCAAATCATGGAAATTTAGCTGTTGAACGGGTATTCATCCCGCATTGACTCATCTCCAAGTCTTGCACAAGAAATAGTGCCAATCCATAGCAATCGAAATCGAGAAACGATATCTCTTCCAGACTTTGCAACACAAATGCCCTTGGTTCTCAGGGTTGCGTGCAGCAGGTACAGCAGCGACTGACAACACCTGGCTCTGCCTTTTTGCTCCAACCGCAATGATTCGAATCGCGCAAGGATTGGCTTTGCCAATCTGCAGACAAACAGGTCAACTGATGTACCTCCATGCTGGCAGACTAGCAGAAGCAAGCATCCGTTTTATGCATGATGTTTCCAAATTGTTCAGAAAACAACTCGATTATATTCGATTATACATATTTTACAAAAAATGCGGATGAAAAGTTGTCATGCTGATCATGGACTCCTTCCTGCTACATCCATCCTGCTGCTTTGCGGATGAAGGGACACCAGACCTGTAGAGCCTGTAGAGCCATTTATCTCTGGCCTTGCGGCCAGAGGGGAATTGCAGGGCCTTTCCAGGTCATCAGGCTGTGCACACACAGCAAACTGCAGCAGATTCACCTTCCATCAAAGGAGCTGGATTTTTCCTGGGCACGGGCACTGCAGGGCACTGCAGGGCACTGCAGGGCACTGCAGGGCACTGCAGGGCACTGCAGGGTGGGGTGATCCACATGCCCCTCTGCACATTCTGTACCAAGCAGATAATGTCAGCAACACTTACAAATTTGATGCAGTACTTGGCATATGGGTGCAAGTTTATCTGGGCAGACATTGCTGCAAGCAAAGCAACATCTGCTGTGACGCTTGGTCCCGTGCTACGATAGCTCCCTAAGGTTTGCCACAGGGTGGAAACTGTATAAATGTATCGATACGTAATAGATGCATACACACCATGTATGTGCACATGTACATATATATGGGGATTTCTGGAAATGGGGATCCCTAAAACACTAGGTTTCAATAGTAAAATGGTCCAATTTTGGATGATTTCGGGTACCCTCATTTTAGGAAACCTCCATATACATTTCCACAGAGAGAGAAAGAGAGAGAGAGAGGGGAAAAAAAGTGAATGTACACTGAAATTGATGTAAAGAGATGTGAAAGATCGCGAACGCAATATTTCCCCAAAGCAACCACAACTCGACACCTTGATTTTCAAGATTCTCACTGATGAAAAGACCCTTGTTGACGTCTTCATCCTCGACTGCAGCTTTCACTCCATCTTGATTGAACAAGTCATCAGGAAGAGTTGGCACAGGTGATTGAGTCGCCGATGCTGAAGACACCGGGACCGCCTGAACGGAAGCCAATTTCTAGGCTCAACACTTTGATTTCAAAGAATTGACGACAATGTGTAATCCCCCATAACCAGTAAACACCGAAACATTCCTGGTTAGACATTATGTTAATATGGGTGTGCCTGACAATCGGGCCCCCACATCCACTGGTTAATCAGTATCTCTCCCCAACAAACTATGCAAATTTGGGGCATCACCCCATTTTTTCTTGTATATATACGTATGTATATATCGTATATCGTATGATGTAAAGATATGATAAGATATGGGGATTTCTTAATTCTGGGGGATCCCATGGTATGAACCATGGCTTTCCCGTTGTGGTCATCCATGTAGACTGGATGAAGACTGGTACCCCCATTTTGGGGCCCAGGTGCATCCTCTGCTGGAGTTGGTTCCTGTTCTCCAAGAGCTTCACGATACGCGTCGGCTTCGGGGCCCCCGAGCTTCTTCAGCCAGCCTTCCTTGCCGACGTCTAGTGAAGGTTAAAAACTATTCTCTACACAAAATGATATGTGTACTAGGTTTATAGTGATATGTGCATAGTATACCTGTATGCATTTGAGTTCTTATGTATTTTATATAATTATGCGTGTATTCATGTATTCATGCAATAATGTATGTATTTATTGTATATGTATGTATTACATATGCATATATATATATATATATCAGCATATGTATATATATATATATATCAGCATATATATATATATATCAGCATATATATATATACGGTAACTACATTTAAATATATGGGTTTTTAAATATTCGAACAGGATCGAACAGGTATTTTAGACTACCTCCGGGAAGGTTTTCCTTGGCCCGCCCGGCCATTTAAACATACGGAATCCAATTCATTTAAACATACGGTAACTACATTTAAATATACGAACTGGTATTTCATACTACCTCCGGGGCCTCGCGGTCTGGCCCGCCCTCCACATATTTAAATGTCGTTACCGTATGTATGTATGTGCTTACGGATTACTGCATTCATGTATTCATGTCGTCAGTATATATAAAATGTTGACATATACGTATATATATATACTATGACATACTATAACATACTATAACTATATGATTTCCACGCTATGATCATATCTCAAAGTGCCAAAGTGCCAAGGTTGTGGTGGCTTCCAATGAATCCTCCACACCCGCCATGGCTTTGGAGGTTCTACTCGTCAGGGGCTGTTGCTGGAGAGAGTAACTCCACAAATCCTGAAAAAGACGGCGCCGATGGTTGAGGCTGAGGCTTCCAGGAAATTGGACGAAGCTTGATGTACAGTGTATGTATATTATGTAATCCTTTCCCCCTATTACTAACCCTCCCCAAATACTAAAAACTAGGGTCCATCTCCCAGTTTGGAAAATTTCAGATTGGCCAATTTGACTTTTAATTGGTCCCCTTTAGAAAACAATTTAAAAATAAAGCTACCATTTGTGGGTTTTGCCCCCCTATTAATAAAAATTACTTTACTTCGTGTGATCCCCACCATGACATTTATCGATTTGTTACTGGCAAATCTTCTGGCATTCTATCTGGCAAACATTCTGGCACTTTATCTGGCATACCTTCTGGCATTCTATCTGACATTCTATCTGGCATACCTTCTGGCATTCTATCTGGCATATTTTCTGGCACATGTTCTGGCATATCTTCTGGCATTCTATCTGGCATTCTATCTGGCATATCTTCTGGCATATCTTCTGACATCCTATCTGGCATTCTATCTGGCAAATCTTCTGGCATTCTATCTGGCAAACATGCTGGCACTTTATCTGGCATACCTTCTGGCATTCTGTCTGACATTCTATCTGGCATACCTTCTGGCATTCTATCTGGCATATTTTCTGGCATATGTTCTGGCATATCTTCTGGCATTCTATCTGGCATTCTATCTGGCATATCTTCTGGCATATCTTCTGACATCCTATCTGGCATTCTATCTGGCAAATCTTCTGGCATTCTATCTGGCAAACATTCTGGCGCTTTATCTGGCATACCATCCGGCATTTTATCTGGCATATCTTCTGGCATTCTATCTGGCACATCTTCTGGCATTCTATCTGGCATATTTTCTGGCATTCTATCTGACATGCTATCTGGCGTTCTATCTGGCATATCTTCTGGCATTCTATCTGGCTTTTGAGGTACAGCGGTGCGCACTGAGCTCGGAAGGCCCCAGGTTAGGTCCAGCGGCCAGCGGTGCGCACTGAGCTCGGCAGGTCCCAGGTTGAGGTCCAGCGGCCAGCGGTGCGCACTGAGCTCGGCAGGTCCCAGGTTGAGGTCCAGCGGGGAGCACTGAGCTGGGAAGGTCCCAGGTTGAGGTCCAGCAGTGCGCACTGAGCTGGCCAAGAGTTGGCAAGGCAACAGTGGACGTGGAAGTGGAGGCAGAGGTGGTAGAAGAGGAGGAGGACGCGGAGGAGGAGGAAGGAGGAGGAGGAGAAGAAGGAGAAGGACGAGGAGGAGGAGGAGGATGAGGAGAACAGCTCTGATAAAATCTAACAACCCTCACCTGGCAGGTGGGGAACTAGTCAACCCCGGCCCCGGGGTGTTTATTATTAGGGTCCGTCCGATTTTTTTTTAAATTATGGCTTTTAATTTATTATTAGGGCCCTCTTCGAAAACCAATTTTTGGCAATATTTTAATTACGTTATAAAAGGAAATTTAATTGATTTTGAAATTGGAAAAATAGTTTTTATTATTAAGGTTTTAAATTTATTAATAGGGTCCGTTTCGAAATCCAATTTTTGGCGATATTTTAATTGCGTTATAAAAGGAAATTTAATTGATTTTGAAATCGGAAAAACTAGTTTTTATTATTAAGGTTTTAAATTTATTAATAGGGTCCGTTTCGAAATCCAATTTTTGGCAATACTTTAATTGCGTTATAAAAGGAAATTTAATTGATTTTGAAATTGGAAAAATAGTTTTTATTATTAAGGTTTTAAATTTATTAATAGGGTCCGCTTCGAAATCCAATGTTTGGCAATACTTTAATTGCGTTATAAAAGGATTTTAATATATTTAATTTGGAATTCGGAAAAATAGTTTTTATTGTAAATTGTTAATTAAAAGGGTCCGCTTCGAAACCCAATTTTTGGCAATATTTTAATTGCGTTATAAAAGATTATAGGGAAATTTAATTGATTTTGAAATCGGAAAAAATAGTTTTTATTATTAAGGTTTTAAATTTATTAATAGGGTCCGTTTCGAAATCCAATTTTTGGCAATATTTTAATTGCGTTAAAACAGGGTTTTAATATAATTGATTTTGAAATCGGAAAAAATATTTTTTATTATTAAGGCTTTAAATTTATTAATAGGTTTCCCTAAAAATAAATACACCCCTAATAATAAAAAAATACCTGAGGTGTTTATTATTAGGGGGGGCGTTTAGTATTAGGGGGAAGGGATTATATGTCTACATGTTCATATATATATATATATGATTATATGTATACATACATATATATATATTGTGATGTATCTATATATATATATATATAAATTAAAAGAAAAAACAAAATGCTGATGAAGTAAATGAAATCCAATTCCAATAAAGCGTTGTAACACTGCTGAAAAATCTGCTCTTTGCCTGGATTATCATTTGCACCGCTGTCCTTGTCATGGCTATCCAGTGAAACGCCCTCGTGAAACAAACGGTCTGTCACCTTGTGAAGTGAGGGAAGGGGCGGCTTGCCGCCACTATGCGGACCACGACAATGAGGGGAAAAACGAAATGGATAGACTTCTCCAGGTTTCACCTTAGCGAGCCAGCCCGGACAAGACATCTTGCTAATCTACGCTAATCTTGTATTGTAGGCACAAGGTGAGTCAAATTTGATAGGTTTCGCGCAAGAAATGGTGAAAAGCAATGGATTCGGATAAAAATTCGGGGTCTCCAGTCTCCATTTTCGTTTCATAGGCATACATAGGCTACGACAGGCACAGGAGGCTGAAGGATGAAGGCAGTCCACATGGCAAAATAATCCCTAGCGCCCTAGAGGTTGTCGCAACCGATGGTCAGGATATGTCTGACAGCTGAATTGAGAATTTGGGTCTGAAAATGAGGGATACCCCAAGTAATTAACCATTTTAACAGGGAGCATGATGATAAACCACTGGATTTGTTTGGTACCCGATTTTCAAACACTTATCCTAACTTATCCATTGTCAATCAGCAACTCAAGAGTCGAGGGTCATTGGGAGCAGTGCCTCCGTACTGCACCTCGAGTTGATGTGGTTCGCACATCTTCCTCATGGTGCTAGGAATGTCTGCATCTGCCACAAACCTCGAGTCTTGAGGGTCCCACAGGCCAGTTGCAGTGGAGCAAACAATTCAGAAACTTGGCAGTCGGTGCGCTTAGCGCATCCATCTGAATTTAAACGGTCCCAGCGCAACCATCTAGAGAATGCGTCAAAAGATTGGAATCAAATTGGAAGGTCAAACAGATACTAAAACCAGAACAATAATTGGCTTGGAAGTTGTACAGACTTCAAATCAAATCAAATTTGATCCCCAGTTTGATTCCCAGAAGTACCATCCTCACATCCTGGCAATCTTCTGCAACTGAGTAGCTCTACCTTTGACTTTTTGTCTTCTGGGATCAGAGAATTCACGATGGCACGAAGCAACGAGGGCATATGGAAGATCTTGGTGGTGAAGTTTCGACCACAATAGACTTCCTCTAACAGCTTCGTCACGTTACGGGTGATGGATCCTCAACCAAGCGGCCAGGCTGCCCTTTTTCGCACGATTGCCATGGGACGTTTGGAAAGAAAACAGCATTACATAGCATGACATAGCATGACAAGTAAGTGAATCCTTTTTGGTTGGGTAAGTGAACATATCCTGAAAGGTTTGTGGCACTTTGGACCCCACTCATTGAACAATATTGAACAATAGGGCCCACCGGATCGGTGATGATCATCTTTCCGAACATTTCTCCAAATCAACCTGTCGCCTTCCAACTTCATCCTGCGGTTTTATTGTGCTTTATTGTAAGTTAAATGCCAAATCTGATTTATGCAAAAGGAAATGAAATCGATGGTCTGTCCAATCATTCATAGGGTTTTGTCATGCTTTGCCGGCCATAAAAACCGTCGACAAACAATTATTCAGATGCCATTTTCCAACTCGATACATCCCAAGAAGTGGATATTGCACCCACATATTCTCTGGGTTTCATTTATAAGTGCATCATGACCGAGGTTGTCAATGTGGCAAAACCACTAATCAACATCAACCTCTTTGGTGTATCATTGGGTTCCCACCAGAAGTGATCATTTCTAGGTTAAATTCATCCTTTCCCCAAATATTCCAATGAACAATTTAATAAATGTGTCCCATTCATAATTGTGATCGTTTCCACATCTATACCATATATCATCCTAAATGTATGTATATATATATATATATATGTGTGTGTGTGTGTACACATTAATGTATTTACGTAGATATAGTTTTATATGTCATATATATATATATAATGTATATATATATATGTATTATATATACATTGACCTTCCATACACGAAGAACACGTCAGATCTGAGTGAATACCCGAGGTTTTCAGATGAAACCCGGGGTTTTGCTTTTCCTGGGCGGCCCTGTTTTTCCCACTGATGTGAGGGAACCTGCGCTGCTCTTAATTAGGTGGTCTAAGGTGCACTCAACTCCTGAATTTAACTATAGAAGGGCACAAAAAAACAACCATGGGCTAAAAATTCTGGTCGTTCTGGTCGTTCGGACAGCCCCCAAACCCATGATTTTTTCACGGGTTGGCATGGGTAAATCACGGGTTTGGCATGGTTTGGCACGGGTTTGGCACGGGTTAGAAAAACCCAGGGTTTTCTTGGAAACCCGGGGTTTCCTTACTAAAATCACGGGTTGGCACGGGTATATCACGGGTTTGGCACGGGTTGAGCACGGGTTAGTTGACGCAAAATCTCAAACCCGAACTTTTTCCGATTGGGGTAAGACAATTCCGTTGTGGGGAAGATAAACGGGTTTGAAAGAACCTGCGCTGCCTCATGTTTCTTAAGTTTTCCCCAGGTTGTCCTGGTCAAGCAAAGACTTAGCGCGTTTAATCCCTGCCTGGCTGCAGGATGGCAGGAAACCCGGGGTTTTGGATGAAAACCCTGGCTTTTTGTTGGTATAGTGTATAAACCCGACGTTTCCAGTTGAACCCGTTATTTTTTGGGGGTTTGGAAGCTAAGACACATATACGTAGAAAATACATATATATATATACACACACACGTAGGTATGTATATGTATGTATGTATGTATGTATGTACGTACGTATGTATGTATGTATGTATATGTATATGTATATATATGTATGTGTGTGTATGTATCTACGTTGTATTGATATGTCTCATTTCTTTATGCATGTAAGTCTAGGTCTGTCTGTCTGTCTCTGTCTGTCTCTTTCTGTCTCTTTCTGTCTGTCTCTGTCTGTCTCTTTCTGTCTCTGTCTGTCTCTGTCTGTCTCTGTCTCTCTGTCTGTCTCTGTCTGTCTGTCTCTGTCTGTCTGTCTCTGTCTGTCTGTCTCTGTCTGTCTCTGTCTTCTCTGTCTGTCTCTGTCGGGTCTGCGAATTATTTCTATCCTGCTGTCTGATCCTGTCATGTCTCTGTCGTCGTCTGGTCTGTGCGTGAAGGGTGTGTATACGGACCACATCACGTGCAGATAGAGAATATCATAGTCTGGATATGAGCAATCCACACCGAAGTAGGTAAGTACCCAATAAAATCAATAGGGCAAATGTTGCAACAATTACTAATTCAAGATTAGATACCCGAGGTATAAATATATCGCTATAGCAGCATGCAAGATACTCGGAGCGAGAGAAAATGTATATATAGGATAGGGGCCCGTGTCCCTGTTCCCACCCCCAATTGCATGGGGGGGGGGCCTGATGCCCCTGATGCATGGATCCGCACATACGTACCTACGTACCGACGTACAAACGATCAATAACATACCGGGTGTCCTACCTCCCTGACATACATCATGGCCTACATACCTACATACCTACATACCTACATACCTACATACCTACACACCTACATACCTACATACCTACATACCTACATACCTACATACCTACATACCTACATACCTACATACCTACATACCTACATACCTACATACCTACATACCTACATACCTACATACCTACATACCTACATACCAACATACCTACATACCTACATACCAACATACCAACATACCAACATACCAACATACCAACATACCAACATACCAACATACCACCACCACAGGCCACAGCGGGGGGGGACCAGAAGAACCATACCACCACCACAGGCCACAGGGGGGGGGGGACCAGAAGAACCATACCACCACCACAGGAAGAACCAGACGATACTGTCCACCCATACCCATTGGTGGGGGGGGCTGACCAACGCTGCACCATATATATATATGTATATATATATATGTATATATATATGTATATATATATATATGTATATATATATATATATATGTGCTCACCCCCCATCCCAAAGAAGGTCACCCAAAACTTTGTTTTTTTTGTGTTTTTTTTTGTTTTGTTCAAAAACTTGATCCCTAGAAATAATCCAGATTAATCCAAGCCAAATCTGACTCATCTGGCCTCTAAGGCATCATGTGTCTATCAAACGCATCCTTCACAAACCATAAAATATTGTATGCTAAACATGCGCAGGTATTCCTTGGGGGTGTGCAATTTTCCTTTTAGGTGTGAGGCATTTGGGAATGTACAATTCTCCTTGTGGTGAGTGAAGCCTTGCCTTCAAATAAATGGTGTTCCTGTCCAAATAGATGGCAGCTGGGTTTCTTTGAAAGGAGCGGCGTTGCATATGTTGAAAGAAATGGTGTTACCTTCAAACATAAAGTACTACACATCTTTAAAGGATACACTGCACATTCTGTAGCAATATTGTTTCTGTTGTTTAGCAAGGTTGCAGCTTTAGGTTAAGCATTCAATCTTTGAAGAAAACCGCATCTGTTGGAGGGAATGACATTTTGTAGAGGGTTAAAAAAAATAGATTCCAACCTTCATAAAGAAAATTATTCCTTAAAAAAAAACTGTGCTAGCTCAAAGGCAACCACCAGCTTATAAATGACAACACCTTTTTTTGGTTGAAGGGACTGCTGCATATTTGCAATGAAGACTACACTTTTACAAGTCTCATTTCTTCAAAGCATTGTTTGCTTGAAATGTAGCACAGGTACAAACTTAAGAAACTACATAATCCTCTTTGGGGAGTGGGGGCAACTGAAAGAAAAATGGCAGTGTTTGCAGTTTTGCCTTCAGCTCAACATGCTGCATTTTCTTTGATCAACTGCTGCGCTGTGTCGCTCAAACAGTAAGTTTTGTTCATTCAACATTGCATGTACTTCCACCATCAACTAGAATATCAACTAGAATATAACTTCAAGGAACGCGAAATTTTTGAGAATTTATGATTTTTCTTCCTGTATCGACATTTAGCAGGGCTATTTGGTCATATTGTGATGTGATGTTCACAAAGAGGAAACCTTATCCAGAGAAAAACAAAAAACTTTCATGTGCAAAATGGATTACTTCATGACAATGGTCGATATGGGTTTCAAAATGTAGCCAAATCCAAGAAAAAACGCACCTTGGAAAGCAAAATGCATTCAGTAGAATGCTTCGACAGACAATGCAAGATTGCAGTGGAGAGGTTCAAGTCATGTAGTTCCCAGGCACAATATATCTATAATTTTTTTTGTGTGGCAAAATTAATTTACAACTAGAAATATATTGTTTTGAAGTCTGGGAAAACACTATTCGAGTCGAGTGTTTCCATGTCATTGTGTTGCAATACTACGTCCCAATGGAAGAAGTGAACCATTTTTTGAACAACATAACTAACATAACCCTAATTCAGCCTAATTCATCTACAAAAGTTACTTTACATTGAAGGGAAGGCAACCTCGGAGTCTTAGGATGTGGAGTAACCAGGTGGCAATTGAGGAACAGCAAGAAAACAAGAGTTAAACTGTACCGTACTTGTGTGGTAGTGTGAAAATCACACCAAAAGCTGGACAATGAAATAGATGTGTTTTACTGCAAATACCACCGAAAAAACTCAAGGTAGGCCCCGGTTGGGGGCAGTGACCATATATGTATATATATATATATATACACACAGTATATCATATGAATTCATATGATGTATCCCCTGTTCTTTTTTCCCCATGAACCGCCGACATGGCACGGAAGGTGGAGCTGGCCGCCATGGACAAACCGCAGCCAGTGAGGTCCACCAACAGCACCCAGTTCTCCACACGCCCAGGGACCAGCAGGTAACGCACCGCATATTCGAGGATGAACAGGATCATCCTGGAAAACTAGCTTGATATACGTTGAATCCTGGAAAACATGGAAAAGATACGTTGAGAATGATGGAAAAACCAGGTCAGGATATGACGTTGGTTGATTCAAACGTTGAGAATGATGAGAATGACCGGGACGGTTTGCTCATATTTGCTCATGCTATCTCATGCTTGCTCATTTGCCAACCGCCTGATCCTCAATTCTGGCCACTTGCTCTTAGGACGTAGCATCAGTTCAAGAGAAGTTCTTATGACGTAGCAACAAGTAATATATATATATATATCATCGAAGGAAGTTTAGAAGTCAAACTTCCGACAATATGGACAGATGCAAAGCAGAGATGGGAAGAGTCAGAGAAGATCAGAGAAGAGAAAGAGTCAGAAGAAAGAAGATACAGGTGCGCGAAAAGGTAGGAAAATCGCAAAACACTGTGTTTTTCAAATGATTTGTGGCTCCGGAGGGTCGAAAAGTAGGCTCGCTAAAGCAGCGGGTGCGGAGCCAGCTGGCCAGATGAGAGATGAAAAATTGCACGCTGCTGTGGCGGGAAGCACATTTCGAAGTCAAAATGTACAAAGCACACCATTCTTGGACCACTTTTGGAAGTTGAGATGTCGAAAAAGTGCACGCCGTTGTGGCGCGAAGCACATTTCGAAGTCAAAATGTACAAAGCACACCATGCTCGGACCACTTTTGGAAGTTGAGGTGTCGAAAATGTGCACGCCGTTGTGGCGCGAAGCACATTTCCAAGTCAAAATGTACAAAACACTACATGTACGCGCCACTTTTGGAGGTTCAGATGTCGTTTCGCGGCGATTGTGCACCTTCTCAAAAGTGAGTAAAACGTGAGGGTTTTGTAGCATGTCCAAAAACGATGGCAGGCGTGGGACATTTGAAGAGGATCTGCAAAGATGCATTTTCCGTGGCATGCGCGATACAAGAGACATCTTCATCGGAGCTGTTAGGAGGTCCGGGTGGTGATTTCCTGGGAGGGGTTGCATTTTGGAGCATCAGATCTTGAGGCTTGCTAAGATGATTTTGCGTGACAGGTGCAGCACTTCGTATGACCTGGCATCACTTTCGCCTGCCAGGCGCAATACTTTCGACAGGTGGACTGGAAAAATCGCAAAACGCAATGGCACGAGGCTGTCAGCTCTGCAATCAACTTTCCATGTTTGAAGGAAGTCTCGCAGAATTGCTTTGTTTTTGATGTTGTCAAGTTCAAAAAATTGAATCAGTCTCGCAGAATTGCTTCGTTTTGGATGTTGTCTAGTTCAAAAAGTGAAGTGTCCAAGAATTGCTTCGTTTTGGATATTGTCAACTTTGAAAAATGAGGACGTCTCGCAGAAGTGCTTCGTTTTTGGTGTTCTCAACTTTGAAAAATGAGGAAGTCACGCAGAATTGCTGCGTTTTTGCTGTTGTCAACTTTGAAAAATGAAGAAGTCTCGCAGAATAGCTAGGTTTTCAATCTTGCAGATAAACAGGTAGACAGACAGACAGACCGAGAGATAGAGAGATAGAGAGATAGAGAGATAGAGAGATAGAGAGATAGAGAGATCGATAGATGGATAGATGGATAGATGGATAGATGGATAGATGGATAGATGGATAGATGGATAGATGGATGGATAGATGGATGGATAGATGGATGGATAGATAGATAGATAGATAGACAGATAGATAGGTAGGTAGATAGATAGATAGATACATAGATAGATTGATAGATAGATAGATAGATAGACAGATAGATAGACAGATAGATAGATAGATAGAAGAGAAAGATGAGATAGATGAGATAGATGAGATAGATGAGATAGATGAGATAGATGAGATCGATGAGATAGATGAGATCGATGAGATAGATGAGATCGATGAGATAGATGAGATCGATGAGATAGTAGAAGACATATCTTGGCCCTTAAAAACAGGGTATGTATCGTAAAAAAGTGGGTTGTGAGTGGCATGTGACAATCACGGTTGGTCACCTCATGAGTAGGACTCCTGTCGCCAGATAGTAGTGCCTGCTCGGATTGTGTGTCTTTTCTGACCGCATCCCTTGCTCGCCATGTCGAATAAGCAGTTGCCTGCAAACCGCCGAGGCAAACAGACAGTGACCGCGCGTGTGTCTTTTCTGACCGCGTCGGAACCATCAGGAAAACGGGATACATGCAGTGATGCGTACCGCGTGAGTGCTGACTGCGTGCGTCTTTTCTGACCGCGTCGGCCGGCAGCCGCGTGAAAGATGGGACACGTGCAGTGATGCACGCATTCAGACCGCAGTGATGCCTTAGCTGTCAGACCGTATCCATAGTTTCTCCGTGGCAGCACTTGTCCATGCGGTGTGACTTTTCTGTCCGCCTCGAGTCTACGCCATGGAAGGTTTCCTAGCAGACGGGACGTTTCTTGTCTCTCCATCTTCTTTGCAACCGTTAAAGACAGAGCTGTGTGATTTTTCTGACAGTACAAAGGCGCACTGTCAAGTTGCCGTGCCGATGTCGTTTGGTCTGCTGAGCAGGTAAGATGGTAGATAGATAGATAGATAGACAGATAGATAGATAGATAGGTAGGTAGATAGATAGATAGATAGAAGAGAAAGATGGGAAAGATGGGAAAGATGAGATAGATGAGATAGATGAGATAGATGAGATAGATGAGATAGATGAGATAGATGAGATAGATGAGATAGATGAGATAGATGAGATAGATGAGATAGATGAGATAGATGAGATAGATGAGATAGATGAGGTAGATGAGATAGATGAGATAGATGAGATAGATGAGATAGATGAGATAGATGAGATAGATGAGATAGATGAGATAGATGAGATAGATGAGATAGATGAGATAGATGAGATAGATGAGATAGATGAGATAGATAGGATGGATAGATAGATAGATAGACAGATAGATAGATAGATAGAGAGATAGATAGATAGATCGATAGATAGATAGATAGATAGACAGATGGATAGATAGATTGATGGGATAGACAGATAGATAGATAGATAGACAGACAGATAGATAGACAGATGGATAGATAGATTGATGGGATAGACAGATAGATAGATAGATAGATAGACAGACAGATAGATAGATAGATAGAAAGAAAGATAGATAGATAGATAGATCGGTAGGTAGGTAGGTAGATAATCAGAGAAACATAGAGAAAGAGAGAGAGAGAGAGAGAAGGAAAGAAAGAAAGAGAGGAGACATCAATTCCCTTTCGGTCCATTAGTGGCTTCGCTCTGCCATCCCTGATTCACAACAACCAACCTCTCCTATAGGTTTCCTATTTTTGAAACTTCTGCCACCGCCTTGTGCGGTACTACTGGTATCACATACATACTACATAGACTTACAACAAAGCGTGAAGTTGAAAAAAACTTCTCGTGACGAAGCATCGAGTAGGTGTGCTAGTGCCAGGACGTTATTGCTCAAACCCACCCGCCAAACAACCCCATCTATATATGTCTTCAACTGGTAAGCTTGAAGGATTTGTTGTTAATGTCCGATATTCTTCAGGCACTTGTTCATACATCCTGGATATTGTTTCCCGGGAGTACGTATTGCTAGATTTGGAGCTGCTAGATGCTGCTAGACACTAAGAGTCACTAAGAGACATACATCGAGACTATCCGATTGTTTGATCCTTGGTTGACCCTTTTAGTACAGTGAGGTCATCAGAAAAGTTGATGCCATCCCATTCCAAGGCCTGGTGGCTCGGTCTGCATCCAAACCTCGGGATCTCAACGGGGAGCCAACTGGGGCCTTGGGACTGGGGCGTTCTTCATGTGGGATCCCCGCTGGATGGTTGAATTCATTGGAAAAGCCTTAAAAAGAATGGATGATTTGGGGGTACCCCCATTGGAAACCTCCATATTGTTATATATGTATATATATATCATGCTATATCTATATGGACTCTGAATCAGACTTGAGAAGCCACCCCAGATTTCAGCCCAAAGGATGCTGGAAAGGCACCCAAAGCATAGACCTTTTCCATGCGCCACACTAGGATTGGCCGACACGATCTATCTCTGCCGTGCCAGTACATGATGGCTGTTTGCAAGTCGTTCAAGACTGCATCCTCCCTCACCGGCATCTTTTGCACGCGCATCCTGAGAGATGCACAACCCAGGGGAAACAAACATATGGAACCGGCTGATGGCTTCAACACATTCCAATAGTTTGAGACTTTGGTCATCTAAGCTATATACCTGTATCTAGGATTCTCTAAGGATGGAAACTCTATGAATTCGACAATCGGTGCAGCAAGTTCCGGCTTTTCTGTCAAGTGCTAGGGCCTATATCCCTCTGATATCCTTTGATCATGGAAATCAGATGAGCCTGGCTTGCAGTATGTACAAAAATGGAAGGTCTCAACAAACCTCTGACGAAGTGATCTATTGAAGTAGAGTCGTATAGGAAACCAATGGTTTGGAGATGTTACAAGATGTTTCAGCATCTCACATTCTTGGAGTGACGCTCATCTTGCTCAAGATGGCCTCCGAACAAATGAAAACCCTTCCCAGCAAAAGAATCTTCAGATGGTGGATTTACCAATGGGAAATCCATGAAAATAGAAACTATCTTCAACAAATCCAGATCATTTTGTTCCAGGTGAAATCCTAATCTTTCCAGGTGAAATTGGTGAAATCCCAATTTCTTGCTGTTGAGCATCTCCAAATGAGTTGCAATCGTGTTAATAGCCTTCTCAACTTTCCACTTGGCCTGCTGCAGCAATCGCAAGGCATGCAATCGCACGTAGCCAGGCATCGTCCCGCCAGGTGCAAGGGCCTTCTCATTCCTGACTTTGTTGAAGCTATTCAGAACCACCCCAGGAACCGGAAAAAGAAAAACATTCCCCTTAAATGGGTTAACCAATGGGAAAATGGGAAAATGAGTTAACCAATGGGTTAACCAATGGGTTAACATGTTTTCAGCAAATCCAGGACTCTTCAAGGCTTCGTGGAGCTTGTCAAGAGCTTTCTGTTCAAAGTCCAGCAGAGGAACGTTGAGAAAAATCAAGCGGTTCCCCGTTTTTCCCTGTGGAGCTGGTGTACCCCCTCTGTGAATGTCTTCGGGAGCTGGTTCAAAGAGCACCACTTCTGGAGGGAGTGTAAATTCATTCCTTGGCCGCAACTGGTGGGTAAGATCAAGACATATCAAAACATCCAAAACAACCATTTTTTTGGAGGATTGAAGGGAAGCGGCATTGAAATGGGCGAAATGATCCACGAGGCTGCAGCAAAAGAACTTCTGTCAACCCTTGAATAAGAAGATGCGTGAAGACCCTGTTGTCATCAAAAGTGTGCTAGGCCAGCAGCTGAGCAACAATGAGAGGGATAAAACGAGACCTCCAATGGCTGGAGCTGTTTGTGTCTCAGCAAATAGCTGTACAGTTTGAGCTCGGGCTGACTTTCTCATTGCTCACGGGCCGGTCTAAGAGCGCCCCCTTCAGCTGGGGCTAGGCCTTCTAGGCCCCCCCAAGCGGGCCAGATTGAGCTGCCAGCGGGCCAGCGGTAAAGCTGGTGAATTTCAACTGACTACCATAGAGGGATGGATAAACAAGAGATGAAAATCCCATCCCGCCAATGCTAAACACCCCCTAAATGGTCCCAAGTATGTCTCTAAGTCCCTACTAAACGATGGTTTGTTGCGGGTGTTTAATTAATATTGGGGGTATGGGATTACCAACTCAAATGAAACCGTGAACCATGAACACGATCTTAAATCCCAGATTCTCGACATGATCCATGAAATGCCAAAAAATTAGATATATCCCATTTCTGTGCAAACGGATCTATGCACTATAGATAGAAATCACAACCGTATATTACATATAACACTAGACATGCACGTACGCATTCGTAAACGTATCGTATACTTTAAAAAAAAAGTCTTTGATCGTCTATGCACATATATGCACATATTATATGTCGGACGAATGTCACATTACCCACTTTTGGTCACTCCCAACAACTGCGACCTCCAGACCTTTCAGCCGTTCTTTCGCCACATTGCGATCCTGGTCTGCAGCTGGCGTGCTTATCCAGGCCCAGAAACAGCTTGTGTGAGTATACATGTATATATATAGGGAGAGAGAGAGAGAGAAAAAAAAATGATATTTACATTAATATATATAGATATATATTTAAATACATATATATATATACATATATACATAAATAAATAAATAAATAAATCAATATATATATATATATTAAGATAGTTATTAATATATACATATATATGTATGTATATTAAGATATACATATATATATATTGATTTATACATATATACATATTTTATACATAAATGTAAATATATAAATATGTATATATATAAATATATTTATGTACATATATATATATGTGTATATTTAAATAAATATGTATATATATATATAAATAAAAATAAAAATATACATAATATGTATAAGTAATATGTGCAATTTATATGGGAAAATGATGGTGAACCATGAGATTTTTGGGGTACCCTATATATGTGAATCATCCCAGCCCGGGTTGAGCTGCAGCGAGCATTCAAAACCACCAACCGACCATTAACTCATTGTATGGTAAATCCGTTGATTTCTTTTTGGGGGTCTCAGAAAAAAAGATTAACATCTTAGAGTCTCAGGGATGATGTGCTTCTGGTAATTCCAAAGTTTCCAACGATTCTATCTATATATCCTGTATATATATACATACATATATATATATATTTATTTATTTATATTTAAGTGCCAAGAAAAACCCAGAGGAAAGCTCAGTGAACATCCCCGCTCCGCAATGCTCCGCTCCTCTGCTGACTTTTGATTTTGCTGAAAGTGGCTAGTCATCTGAGCAGAGCTGGGCCGGAGGAACCAACCAAAACAGGTGGCATAACCTATGGGCTTGTGGGGATGCCATGCCAGTGGTTTCTAGCACAATCGATGGGTCTGTGGACTTGAATTGGTCTTTGAACCAATTGAACCAATCTTCAATACTTGACCCTTGAGCAACATCTGCGTATGGATCAAAAATCCCCGCACTAGATGGGAGGTTTACAGCTGGGAAAGTCATCCAACTAAATGGAAAACAAAACTTACAGGTGATGATTCCTCAAACATCCTCAAAAACTTCGGCCCATATATATATATATTAATATAAATATATTAATATATATATATATAGCTCACATTTATATATATATACATATATATATATGTATAACTACATATATATATATATATATTTATCCATATATGTATATATAAATATAAATATATATGTGTGTATATAAATATGTATATATATGTATACATACATACACATATATATATATATATATATATATTCGTGTATATTTATAAAAATATGTGTATATATATATATATATTTATGTACATATATATATATATATATATATTCGTGTATATTTAAATAAATATGTATATATATATAAATAAAAATAATATACATAATAAGTATAAGTAATATGTGCAATTTATATGGGAAAATGATGGTGAACCATGGGATTTTTGGGGTACCCTATATATGTGAATCATCCCAGCCCGGGTTGAGCTGCAGCGAGCATTCAAAACCACCAACCGACCATCAACTCATTGTATGGTAAATCCGTTGATTTCTTTTTGGGGGTCTCAGAAAAAAGATTAACATCTTAGAGTCTCAGGGATGATGTGCTTCTGGTAATTCCAAAGTTTCCAACGATTCTATCTATATATCCTGTATATATATATACATACATATATATATATATTTATTTATATTTAAGTGCCAAGAAAAACCCAGAGGAAAGCTCAGTGAACATCTCCGCTCCGCAATGCTCCGCTCCTCTGCTGACTTTTGATTTTGCTGAAAGTGGCTAGTCATCTGAGCAGAGCTGGGCCGGAGGAACCAACCAAAACAGGTGGCATAACCTATGGGCTTGTGGGGATGCCATGCCAGTGGTTTCTAGCACAATCGATGGGTCTGTGGACTTGAATTGGTCTTTGAACCAATTGAACCAATCTTCAATACTTGACCCTTGAGCAACATCTGCGTATGGATCAAAAATCCCCGCACTAGATGGGAGGTTTACAGCTGGGAAAGTCATCCAACTAAATGGAAAACAAAAATTACAGGTGATGATTCCTCAAACATCCTCAAAAACTTCGGCCCAGATATCCCAACTTTGGGGATTAAAATCCCATGGTTGTACCACTTAATGATCCCAATCAGATCCGGTACCTCCGCAATAACTTGCTCTTGGACGCTGCTGCGGCGACGAGATAGTTTGGGCTTAACGGGCGCTTCCTTGGGACCACATCGTGCTATCTCAAAATGGTGGATACCACAAGATGGCTATTTGAAATAGGAAACAGTAGGGGAAAGTGATGATAATCCAAAATATATATATATAATTATATATAATCCATTGGAATTCTGGGGACTTTTCAGACAAACCTTTGTGGTTTTATGGGTCCAATGGAAACCATGTGTTGCCGCCCAAAAAAAAATGCACAAATAGAAGGACCCCAGACATTCCCACACATCCCAATCTACATTTATACCCCGGGGGACCCCGGACCCGGTCCTCATCATCCTCGCCGCCAGATCCGGCGTTGCTGCCAGCTTCATAGTCTTCGCCCCTGGTGCCCAACTGGCTGCCTTTCTCTGTGACCTTTCATGACTTTTACAAATTTAAGAAGTCAAAATGTCCAGAATAATTCCACCTTCATATCCATGTGGCAGCAAGCCGAACCTTTTGGCCACAAGCACTTTTTAACTTCAGGTCTCTGACGATAGAATTCAATAGAACATGTATAAAACACTGTTCAACGACTGAGTTCGTATTTCAAAAATGGGGTGGAACAAAAAAACATGGTGCATCATCATTTTCCCCATATAAATTGCCATTTCAACTGGTAAATCCACCAAACAAAATGGACACGCCCCGGTCCAAGTGCTTGCGCCTGAGCATGGCAATGACCTGACCCAGATGAGTTCAGATGTGATATACCAAGTCTGAAAAGAAAAGAACCAATATGGTCCAATGGAGAGCAAAAACTAAGATCTACCAGATCTCTTGCATCCAATCTTCATTATGGCCTTCTTCTGGAGATCGATTTTTTGCGTGTTGCGAATACTTGTCCAGATGGGCACTCCCAGCTCAAAAAAATCTGTGATCAAAAATTGATCTCATATTTCCTTCCCATATATACACTTAAGACATAGAGATATTATGAGGAATGTATTCATTGATGATATTTGAACTATGATCAATGCCAACTATCACCATTGATACTATGAGGATATATGAGGTATGTATATTTATATTGGTATTAAATTATGTACCTATCATGACTCTTGTCCCTCGCGGCCTGACGGCTGTTGTGCAGAATGTCGGTGTTCTGCCTTGGCAGCAGATGCCACGCTGCTCGGAGTTCTGCTTGATGGATCATCTTGATGAGTACATGAGCTCAACATATGTTACATATAAATTACATATCCTGTATGTATATTACTATATACGTATATATATATATATATATATACGCACCTTGAAACTATTTTGAAAAAAAAACGGCCGGAGGCCAATTGTTGTGGCATGTACGCCTGAAGCTTGTATAAAATCGCTGGAATCCTCCAAAAACGCCGGAGAATTTTCAAAATTGCCGGAGCTACAGATTTGTGGTGAAACAAGATATGTAAAAACCAGAACCTCTGAGAATTACGGCGGAAGGGCGAGCAATTACACCAGAATTGAAGCAATTACGCCGGCTGGAAAAAATGAGAAACATCCAGCAGACCAGAATTGCTGGGGCCGGTGTAAAAACGCCGGGAAGCATGAGAAGGCGCCTTTTACCAGGCAAAGTTGCCTCTTTTCCTACAAGGCAAAAATAAAAGATGATAAAAGGGCATTTGGAGTCTGCAGGTACTGTACAATACTACATATATATATACATATACATAAACAATATGTATTGTATCTTAGATACATTCTTGTAATTTCATGTATACAAGGTATACACATGCCTTGCTACCCCGCGCTTACCAATACACATCGCCCTGGGCTTGAGACTTGATCAGTCGACTCATCTCCACTGGGGTGACGCCGTTGGCAGCCTGCGGCCAGCTGCCATGGTTTTGTTATCCAGAAACCATGGGAAAACATGGGAAAATCCAATCAGAACCTAATAAATCTACCATTTGGGGATGGTCTATACAACCCATAAGAATGGTGATTTTGGAGATGGTTTATTATTGAGGTTTCTAATCCCATTCTCCTAATATTCAATCTTCAGAAACCATAGTCTTGTAGGGGATGTACCACATATGTGGGATGATAGAATGGGTGTGTTTAGTGTGAACGGGGGATGGAAATGGTAAACCCAATGCCATAAACCATCCCCAAAGACTCACAAGAAATGGGTGGGACACGAGTTCAGCCTGTAATCGCATTTTTCCCCGTTTTTGGAAATTATATTGTATGTCAATGATGAGGTGGACATGTTGACTTTGTCTGATCAAGGTTGGAATGATCCTGTAGTTTGTCGCTGCCCTTTGGGGACCTTGATGACTCCGTCGCAGAATTCGTCGGTTCCAACGGTGCCACTGCCATCATAATCAAGCATTTCCTCATGGCTGTGGAAATAAAAGTTCCCGAACACCGAACACCTGCTGAAATAGACTAAAAGGTGAATTATATCTGTCCTAAAACCAAAAAAAAACAACGAACCCCAGACCTGTGGATATCCGCCCGGTTCACCCTTTGCGCACTTTACCCTAGACCTTTCCCGCGAAAGTCAATGTTCAAAAACGGGTTTACCAGCTGTTGGCCAATATTAATCAAAGGAAGTTTAGAAGCCTATACTTCCATGTAACGGACTTTAAATCATAGCAAAGGGATGTCAAAGCAATGGGATGTCAAAGCAAAGGGATGTCAAAGCAAAGGGATGTCAAAGCAAAGGGATGTCAAAGCAAAGGGATATCAAAACAATGGGATGCCAAAGCGATGCGATGTAAAAGCAATGGGATGTCAAAGCAAAGCGAAGTCGAAGCAAAGGGATGTCAAAGCAAAGGGATGTCAAAGCAAAGGGATGTCAACGCAAAGGGATGTCAAAGCAAAGGGATGTCAAAGCAATTGGATGTCAAAGCAATGGGATGTCAAAGCAACGGGAAATCAAAGCAATGCGATGTCAAAGCAATGGGATGTCAAAGCAAAGGCATGTCAAAGCAAAGGCATGTCAAAGCAAAGGGATGTCAAAGCATTGGGATGTGAAAGCAAAGGGATGCCGAAGCACTGGGATGCCAAAGCAATGGGATGTCAATCTTCAACTTTCAGTTTTGGAGGGAAGTCTTGCACAAAAGCTTCGTTTTCACATCTCCCTTTCGCTTTCTGAGGGAAGTCTCGCGCGAAAGCTTCGTTTTCACATCTTCCACTTGCAGTTTGTGAGGGACGTCTCGCACAAAAGCTTCGTTTTCACATCTTCCACTTGCAGATTGTGAGGGAAGTCTCGCACGAAATCCGTTTTTGAAAGTTAGCGGATGAACGAAATGCTGTGTTTTGCAGGACAAAACGTGTCCTGGAAGGTGGATGGGGAAGCTTTTCCGGCAGGCGGGTGCGGAACACGTTCGGTTAGGGACGGATCATGGTCGGATCGGCGCCGCAGTGGAACTGAAAGTTCAGGCGTCATTTTCACAACTTCAACTTTCAAAATTGAAGTAAGTCTCGCACGAAAGCTTCGTTTTCACATCTTCCTCTTAAGGTTTTGCAATTGATCTGGGGTCTCTGCAAATGGATTCTTGGGTCTTTCCAAATATTATACATATGGTGGAATTGTATTGTATTGTAGGTACCCTATTATTTCTCCCATGAGGTAACCAACTGGTTATTTATGTATCTATTTGTCTTCTACCATGTTCATGGATAATCATATGTGCATTATTATTTTCACTCTTAGGCAACCAATTGGTCGATTAAATTGGTATCATCCCAGTATCGATTACGATTTTTTCCATCATATTATTTGGATAAACAGGGGTCCACTACCATTTCCCTTATAGGGTACCCAACCAATTGCTGGATTAAAATGGAATGGGTATCATCCCTTTTTAGGGTATGTACTATATCTATTTGTTTCAACCACGCTAATATTTCTTCTAGGGTGGTGCCCCCATGTACCTTTGGTATAAAACCACCAATATTCACTCTTTTTTTCAAGTATTCGATTCAATTTCCCCATTATTTCTACGTTTCATCATATATCCTTTAAATGCAATGTATTTTTTTTGCCGAACTCAGGGTGCAGAAATCTGCACCTTGACTTATGCAAAAAAAATGACGATATCCTAGGTGCTTGGTGGGGTATTGCCTAAGTCAAGGTGCAGATTTCTGCACTCAGACTTAGGGAATACAGAGGTTGTACCCTGGGATGTAGGAAAAAAACATATTTATTTTGCTGATGTCAGGGTGCAGAAATTTGCATGTGGACCTCGGAAGCAGCCTTATTATTACGGCAACCGTATATTCTACCATGATTTTTCCCGCAATGGATCGGGGTCCTTCATGTTGAGATTTAGGCAAAAAAAAATGCCGATCTTTTGGCTCGGGGAGACCCCAAATCCATCGCAACCCCAAATCCGTCGCATAACAACATTTTATTTTATATGTTATCTAAGTACTCAACCAAAAAAACATATCTGAACTACGATCGAATTGGTGATCGTTTGTTCTGACTGGTACTTCCACGAATGGAAGGGTAAATGGATGAAGAGGCAAACTTTCAATCCCGTTCTTAGCATGACTACCGAATGGCGGATAAAAATTATTAATATTGAAACATCCAAGGGACACTAACCCTACGATTTTTCTTTTGAGGTAATTTTCACTAGTATATATATATATATATGCCAAGGCCACCTACCTTGATAGATAAGATAGATAAAGAAATGTAAATGTTGGAAAACAAATATCATGCAATCAAGAGTAGATATAAATCACCAAGGACCTAGGAGCAAAGACCCCTTATCGGCTGCAAAACCTTACTTTCACTTTTTGAAGGAAGTCTTGCACAAAAGCTTCGTTTTCACATCTTCCACTTTCACTTTTTGAGGGATGTCTCGCACAAAAGCTTCGTTTTCACATCTTCCACTTTAACTTTTTGAGGGATGTCTCGCACAAAAGCTTCGTTTTCACATCTTCCACTTTCACTTTTTGAGGGATGTCTCGCACAAAAGCTTCGTTTTCACATCTTCCACTTTCACTTTTTGAGGGACGTCTCGCACAAAAGCTTCGTTTTCACATCTTCCACTTTCACTTTTTGAGGGATGTCTCGCACAAAAGCTTCGTTTTCACATCTTCCACTTGCAGATTGTGAGGGAAGTCTTGCACAAAAGCTTCGTTTTCACATCTTCCACTTTCACTTTTTGAGGGATGTCTCGCACAGAAGCTTCGTTTTCACATCTTCCACTTGCAGATTGTGAGGGAAGTCTCGCACGAAATCAATCTTTGAAAGTTAGCGGATGCACGAACTCCTGTGCTTTGCAAGACAAAATGTGTCCTGGAAGATGGGTGCATTGGGAAGCTTTTCCGGCAGGCGGGTGCGGAACACGTTCAGTTATAGGGACGGATCATGGTCGGATCGGCGCCGCAGTGGAACTGACAGTTCAGGCGTCATTTTCACAACTTCAAAAATCTTCCACTTTCACTTTTAGAGGGAAGTCTCGCACGAAAGCTTCGTTTCACATCCCCTTGCTGATTTCGGGTGATGGTTCTTCCAAGTGATTTTGTAGAGAAAAGGGGTCTACAGAATACAAGTCCATCCTAGAGAGAGGGCCCCCAAAATGCACTACAAAATGGAAGTCGTTGGAACCAACCCAAAATGGCTGCCCACTGCAAAAAACAAAGATCATTAAGAACCACCAAATAAGGGCTGTCTACACAATAAATTTCCAAAAAAAGTTGCCCGATTCGAGGTGTCGTAAGTGTCCAAGAGAGGCTTTATGGGACATACTCAATCCTGTATTTTGTAGAGAAACCATCAGAAACCCTTGTTGCGGTCTGCGAACTCTAGTTTTTTCTCCCCCGCGTCTCTTCGCGTGGCATGTCTTAGCATGTCCTAGCTCCAGTATGAGAACAATCCGGCCTTGATGTTGTCACTATCTTGCAGCTATAGTGGATGAATTTGGTCATGATGCATTAATGTGCACGGCATTAATCACGCCATCAACATACTGTATATCACATATCAAAATAGTTCAGACCTGCTCCAAAAATATCAAAAGGTCCTATCAAAGCAAGATGATTAAAAAACATATGTGCATTGCAAGATGAAAATTGTCAGCAGATTTTCTCAATTTTGGCGTTGGTGATTTTCCTTTTAAAATTCCTTTTACCAAGTGCTTCAATTGCTTCAACATCGTCCTTTTTTTGCTTTGGCGCCGAGATCCGGTTTTCGAGCTGCAATTTCTGGCACCATTGTGCGAAAAGGCTTGTGTGTGTGTGTGTACCGTCTGAACAGACGCAAAACTTTGTCGGCACTTTGTCTATATATTATATATCATCTTCTATTTTAAAGCAGGGGGTCCCCGGGGTCCCGGGGGGGTCGGTGACCAATGAAGACACGTACCTCCCGGCCCAGGACCCGTGAAAACGTACCTGCGGGACTGTGGTGGCGCACCTGGGCGCATATAAGTCGCAGCTGGTGGCCACCATAGTCCCATATATATTTATAATTCTAAACTAATTGCATGTGATGGGATTCAGTTCCCGACGGATCGATTAAAAGATCCACCCTAGTGTACTGTGATTTCCATGGTGACTCCGACATGGTGCCATGGAGCCATTTGAGGCATCCAATTTAGGGAGAATGTCGACAGACCGGATTACTGAATTGACACTTTTAATTTGGTAATTCGTCTAAGTAAAGCGAAACAGTCGGCCTTGCCTTGCCATTTGTCAGCCTTTTTTACTACGTCCTGCGGCTCCTCTGGTTCTGCTGAACCCTGGTTTTCCTTCTCTGCGACTGTGAAGCCGTTCCGAACTGCCAGAAACTGTTTCCTTTTTATCAACGCAGCTTTTGGAGTGGAACATGAACAGAACACATGTGCGACTGTAGGCATCAGGCATGTCCTTTTCCTGCAGGTATGGTCTCTTTGGTATCTGGTGAGGTTGAACATGTTGTGCACCCAATTCGTTGGAACTTGAACAGCTGTTTATGCCCACATGGCTTGACTTGACAACGTTCCCGGCTGGGAGTAACGCACGACTCTTTAGGAAAGAACTGAATCCCATTTAATCGTTGTTTTTTCCTGTTCACCAACTTTAGTTCCCTATTCGCTCCCCTATTTCATGCGTTCTTTTCCCTCCCCATGGTAGGTCGGGTCCTGTGCGTGCCGAGGTAGGCGTAGGTTTTCGCTGTGTTAGGTTGGTTCAGGCGCTTCCGTCTTCCCCCCTCCGCTGGTCTTGTTCCGTGTCCGTCGGCCTCCGCTTTTCTCTTCTCTTGCCCTTTCAGGGTTTGCCCACTCCGGGGGCCAGGTGTGTTGGTGTTGGTGTTTGCTCTTTCCCTCTTCTTTTGCGTTCCCCTCCTCGGGTCCCGGTTAAGTAATCCTTCATCTCATTTTCATTCTCATCTCATCTTCATTCCCCTTTTCATCCTCATCTTCACCTCATTTGCAAGGACACCACCCTGCCTAAGGCAGGGTGTGTGTGTGTGTACCGTCTGAACAGACGCAAAACTTCGTCGGCAATTCATCTAATTATAAATATATAATATATTGTATTATATCTTAAAGCAGGGGGTCACCGGGGTCCCGGGGGGGTCGGTGACCAATGAAGACACCTCCCCGGGACCCGTGAAAACGTACCTGCGGGACTGTGGTGGCGCACCTGGGCGCATATAAGTCGCAGCTGGTAGCCACCATAGTCCCATACATATATATATATATTTATTTATTTATTTATTTATAATTCTAAACTAATTGCATGTGATGGGATTCAGTTCCCGACGGATCGATTAAAAGATCCACTCTGTTCTAGTGTGTGCGTGTGTGTGTGTGTAAAAGCTTCTGTGTGAAAAAGCTTCCATGTGTAGAAGCTTGTCTGTGTAAAGGCTTCTGTGTGTAAAAGCTTCTCTGTGTAAAAGCTTGCTGTGTGTAAAGGCTTCTCTGTGTGAAAGCTTGCTGTGTGTAAAAGCTTTTCTGTGTAAAAGCTTCTCTGTGTAGGGGCTTCTCTGTGTGAAAGCTTGTTGTGTGTAAAGTACTTTGCGCAAGCTTGTAGTGCAGAGTAGCACTGGGAAGCACTTTGTGCAACTTTTGTAGTACAAAGTAGTACTGGGGAGTGCTTCGTGCAAGCTTTGCAGTACAAAGCAGTACTGGGAATTACTTTGTGCGAATCTTGTAATACAAAGCACTACTAGGTGGGAAGTGCAGCGGGTTTTGGGCCAGAGAAGAGCTGGGATGGTTTGAGAGTGTGCTGAGAAGAGCTGAGATGAGGTGAGAATTGTTGTCAAGAGATGAAATGAGCTGTGAAGATGTGAGAAGAGCTTAGAAGATGTGAGAAGAGGAGGGAAGAGATGAGAAGACATAAGATGAGCTGATATGAGCTGCGGAGAGCTGAGAAGAGCTGTGAAAATCTAAGGAAAGCTGAGATAAGCTGAGATGAGATGAGATGGGATGACCTGACAGGAGAAGAGTGGTGAAGAGCTGAGAAGAGCTGAGTTGAGACGAGCTGCGTAGAATGGAGAAGCTGAGAAGAGCTGAAAAGAGAAGAGTTCAGATGTTCTGAGAAAAGATGAGAAAAGCTCAGGTGACATGAGAAGAGAAGAGAACAGTTGTGATCAGCTGAGAAGAGCTGAGAAAGGGAGAGCAGACATGAGATGGGATGAGATGAGATGAGGTGAAAAAAGCTGAGAAGACATTGGATGAGATGAGTTGAAATGAGATGGGATGATACAGATTGCGGTGACAATGAGATGCAATGGGCAATTTCCAAGAGAAGCTGCGATTCGATGAGATCAGATGAAATGAGAAAAAATTCAACATTCAGAAGAAATGGCATCAGATTGACAAGTCAAGAGCTTGTTGGTGCGAAGCACAGAAGGCCTGGCCGGAAAGGCACAGTCTTTGCCCCGCTCTATAGGCTATAAGCGTTTCAAATTTGAAACTTCCGCCCCTTGCCCGGGTACTACTTGTAATGATAATCATCGTCATGATACTAATTCGCAAAACAAATAGTGACAGCAATGACAAGTATGACAACAATGGCAAGAAACAACCAAATTCAAATAGCAGTGAAATATCATGAGAACAACAAAAATAACAGTGATAGCCTTAAAAACATCAATAGGATGACCCACATGTTTCATCATGTTTCACCACCAAAATTGCAGGGAAATTCCGCAGATTGCCAAGTGTCAAAGAGCGATCCAATATCCTCAGTGCCTGCAATCTCCACCTGCGCTGTCTGACAGTGGTTTCTTTGGAAAAAAATGCTGTGGAAACCATAAGAAACCCATGGTTTTGAGCGTTTTCCAAGTGATGGTTTTCGGGAAAAAAGTGTGAAAAAAACGAGTTCTGTGGAGAATTCTGTGATATTTTCATATATGGGCCTGTCTCAAAATGAGGTGTGCCCATGAAATGAACCATGTTCCTATGGAAAATGATGAGAAACCATCGAATTCATGTTCAGACAAAGCAATATTTCCGCCATCAACGATCCAAGCATCGCCCAAATTGATCTAAATTAAGGGATTAATTGATTAATCACTGTTTTAACTATGTCAGCAACAAAAACTATGATTATCTGTGATTGAAGCCCTTGGTACGGAGAAAATAGAAGGATCCCTGTCATGATGTGGAAGCAGCATTGATCAATCTTGCCAAACTGAATCGCTTCATCAGGCTTCAGGCCTGTGCGATCATGATTCTTCACAAATGATGTGGATACTGCTATGATATGGGTTTATCCCAAAATAGTTCATATCCCCAAAATGGCACAATCGTCAATATTGATTTTGATGCAGAAAATGATTGTCAACCGGAGATTTTGGTATACTCTATAATCAGACTTGCGCCTTTCTGCGCCAGCTGCTGGGGCCCCCAACCAGTTGAGCTCGAATGCCTGGTGGTGCATCTTCCTCGGTCACCAAGGGTTGAAATGTCTGATCTAAACATCACCTAAGCAACGGGAGATCACACCCATTTGGAAGTCATGTTTCAAATCCCCAAATCAGGCTGCATCATTTAGCATCATTTACCAACCCCTGCATGTACATACTGCGAAGTTCCCATCTTTGATTTCTAGGAATGCGGGCATCTACCTTGTATCTATATATATATAATTATATATCTAATTATATATATATACACATCTTATACCCAATATATAATTATATATAATATATCGCAATATAATGCAATATACATATCTTTTATATTGTACGTGTGATATCAGGTGATGCAGATAGATAGATGCAGGTTCCCATGCTCTAAACCTCTCACCCAAAGGATCCATGAGGAAGTGCGAATAGGCGAATAGGTCGCAGTGATCCCCAAAAGAAGGATTTGAAAAGGAAATCATATGAAATCATATGAAATCATCATCAAGAGATCAAGACATATCAAGATATATGAAGATAGTAGGCATTCCATCTTTTGTAATCTTTTTAGGCCAGGACCCAAAAAAAGGCAAGTTGCGATCTCTTCCATTGTCAGCTCACCAGAGCCATCTTCATCCAGCTCCGCGAACATGTCCTGACGGCTTTAGGAAGGCAGCAACAGATGTTCATCTGGCCCAGTCTCTAATGATCAAATAATATTAGATAACTGGGTCAGCAAGATCACTAAGATAATCAGAGGATTTTAATCTATCTCAATTCATCTCTACATCTTTCCCAGTTCTCCCACATCCCAAACCTATACTGACTATAGTGGACCTGTTACAATTTATTGCGGCACCTGTTACCTCAGTGTTGGTTTGATCTGCCAGGGCGCTCGAAGCCGTTCCATTTGCTTCTTCCTCTTGGCACTGGCATACGCCTGAGACGAGCAGCTTGCTGGAGTGTTCGCATTTCCTCATAGGTTTTGAGATGGCTGTAATTACATAGCATGATTCATAATGATGAAGAAATCAGGCACTCCTACCAGTGGTGTTGCCACAATAAGCATAATAAGCCTTCCTGGTCATTGTGAACGGCTAGGAGCACGTGCTGTGCAAGAAGGTGCGTTGAGAATGACAACTTCTCTTGACCGTAAACCTGCAACAAAATCCGTACAATCTGCACGCATCATCAGCCTCGCTGTAAACGGATTGTGCTTTAGGTATCTTTAGGTTTCATTGAATTCAGGCCTCGCCATAGGGTAGACTAAGCATGCAATGTACATTTGCCAATGCAGGTGTTTATGACTACACTGGTCTCATCGATGTGGAGATCCCCCATTCCTCTCCAGTCCCCATCGTGGCACCCATGTCACATGGAGCTTTCCTTCTTCATGAAGCTACCCCCAAAATCATCCATTTTCACTAGGATTTCCCATATTTTCCCATTATAAACATTTATAAACCACCCACTTTCGGCATCCCCCTTGGCCTTCTTGGCTTCTTTGTCCTCGTCTGCTTGTGCCAGTGATCCTGTAGCAATCCAACCATGCACGACTCATTGAGTCATTATGGCCGTCATTATGTCATGTCGTTGTATGTTTGATTGTCATGGCAATTCTGAACTGATCATAATCAGAATATATCAGGATACTCTGAATCATAATCAGACGCCGGTAGATCATTATCATGTTCATCATGACCATTGTCACTGGTGGTATGCCATCATATGCCATCGCCGTCATCCCTGCTGGCCTTCAACCATGATAGCTGTAACCAGGTTCATCAGCGCAATGGCCAGAACCAACCTGAGACCGTGGGGCATCGTAGGGCATGCTGAAACCAACAGGGCTTGCGGCGCTTGCGCAGTGCTCATGCTGGGAATTTGTGATATTTGTGCAGGGTCCAACAACCTGGGAATGGTGATTACATCTATACTTCTAGAATTCTAGAAGAAAACAATTGAACTCGCACACAAGAAGATCAAGAAGATACTTCAAACAACGTATGAAGTGACTAAGACAAATATGACCAGCAACAGCTGTGCTTCTAAGGCCCGGTTGTCTCTGCCACCAAGATGCTGAACCCCCATGAAGTAAAGGAACAAGTGGAGCCTGATGGGCGGAATGCCACATTGGGCAATCCGACAAAGCGATCGGAACATATGGAGCCACCGATTAAAACATGTGCTACATAGTCAATGGGGATCATCAGCACTTTATTCGAAATATTTCGAAATCACCAGTCACAGCAGTCACAGCTTTTAAAGATCATCGCGACTGGAAAAAATGGAAGCGAAGTTGCAATAGGACTGAGGAGGAAAAATATGGGAAAATGGTGAATACTCAGAAGATGGTGTCATTTTTGTATATTTTTGGTGCTTTTGGTGGTGGTTCCGAGCTTGCAGGAATCACACGGCGACATCTCATGTTGGAGGACCCAACGAAACCACCATCGGCTGGGTTAACACCTTGCTGAACCGCGCCTGTGTTTAATCAAAGGCCGATAAACGCTGCTGATGCTATCCCAACCTGCGAAACGGGTTGACAAAAAGGCTGTACCCATGAGTCACCCGTGTAATATGCTTTTTCATACTCCTGCCGGCGCGGGGCTCTATCTCAAAACTCAAAACGGCAGTCCCTACTTGCTGGGGTTTTGCCATAAAAATGTAGCACTGCGACCTCGGAAAGGCCTTTCCAAGTACTTGGGGCGTTCATAAACGCATCCAATGCATCCAAGTTGCAAAAGCATTGGAGAAGGATCCTTGGCGTCTCAAGGACATTTCAAGGTTCCACCAGATCATTTCCCCCAAATTTCCCGTGTGACTTGCTCGAGTAACGCATCTAAGCAAACATCCGAATGATTGCATGGCCTAGACGGAAGTTGGGTTTTGCGCCATTGTGTGAAGCTTGAAAAACACATAAAACAGCCAAATCTATAAGGCGTTGTCCAGTCTATATAAATCTATTGAAGAGACCATTCTATTCTATATCATTCTATTCACTTCCATTTCCATATGATCAGAATCAAAGCAGACAACCAAAATCATTCACTTGTCCCAGATCAGCATCCTGTCATCGCCAAAATCATCCCAACATCCCATCCACATATTCCACATCCACTTTGCAAGTGGCATCCCAGGCATCCCATAGGTCGGTTCCGCTCCAAGTCTCAATGAAGAATCCAGAAGTGTCCGAAAATTCATCGCTGCCATGTTGTAGGGATGATCCGTGGGCCTGATGTTGCCAATGATGGGAAGATCAGATTGGAAATTGATAGCGAAAACCATGGGAAAACATAGGCTTAGGTGAAAACATGAGAAAACCAGTGGCAATCTATTTGAGAAAGATATATCTACCTATCAAAACCCCACCATGGCCAGGTTGCAATGACAATGAGTGACGGGGGTGCTTCTTCAAGAACGCCAAGGTGTGCATGAGAAATCCAGTTGCATCAGCAGTTGATATCGTGCAAACATAGGTGAATGTACAAATACTATAACTTTGTAACACGTTGTAACACGATTAAATATACATTATACATAACATTTAATATGATATCTCATTATTGTTGATTAATATACTGTTAAATATCGCATGTGAATATAAGATAATATAAGTAAATGTAGTGACTGCAGCAACACTTCGTGTCAGCTGTGACGGCCGTCATACTCTGAGCTTTCGCACAAGCTCAAGTCCACCTGGATCAATTCCATACCAAGCACCTCGAGGATCAAAACAGCATGACATGGTGGAACAGTTGGACGTTTTCGTTGCTGCAAAGTCATGAAATGGCGAGTTCAAACAAGCAATTAATGACTTTCAGAAGCCTACCACGAAGCTGCCAGATTTCAGAGTCATGTCTCTGGGAAAACATCGGCGTCAGTGCCAACAGTATCCCATCTGGGCGGCTAAGTTTCCCGGCAGCGAAGATAAAGATCAGAGTGATGATCATGACGAACGTCCAAAACAGCGTCAAGATCTTGGTTCCATTGCGACTCTGAAAACGCACTACCCTCAGGTAAACACACCCAAGGGGGACATCCTCATTTTCGATAGGAAAGTCATGAAGAGAAATGTGTACATATAATTTTATATATACATACACACACACGTCATATAATTATACATTCATTATATATCTAAATATATACATATATATACATATATATATATACACATGGAGGAATGTCAGTTGCCAAATTAGATTACCAAAGCGCTTTCTTCATCTTGGGTCTTGTACGGGTCTTACAAAGAGTCCAGCTGCAACAGCGTCCGGACATCTGACCACCAGCGACCCTGGTTTCCCTACGATTGGTGCCAAGAAACACTGTGCATCAACCCTGGCGGTCGGCAAACCATGAACCCAGTACGCAGAAAATGGGGTGACTTGACGTGGCTTGTTCATCTGATTGGTACAAAGGATGCCAAGCAAACATCCTATACTGGTAATTATATATGTGTGTCGGTTACTCCCATCACTCTTCAACTCGCACTGTTTTCAGATTTAGTCAGCAAGAAGTAAGTTTGCTTTTCCACACTAGAAGTTAACAGCTCTTCAAAAAGGATCCTTGAAAAAACAAACGACCCGAACCATGGGGACCCTATGTATAAATCCATTCAACAACTTTTGCTGATCATCAGCACAAGGGATGGCTGACTGTCTGACTGTTTGGGTCAAGCTGTGATGGCATTAAGCACAGTCCTTGCACAAGCATCCATAGCGTCTGGAACCTGAGGTTGAAGATTGGAGAAGCAGTGGCTAAACAATGGATGGGCAACTGATCAAGGTGTGCGCACAGTGTTTTCTAAGTTCAAGATAGTTCAACTACTCAAAAGTATTCAAAAGTACACTTGAAAAGTCTTGAAAATCCCAAAGAACTGAAGCGCTTTTTTTTGGGGATATTGGGCATGCATCTTCTATGACCTGGACGGACCACGAGGGATCCTGGTTGCAGAATTTGATGCAGTCGGGCTATTTGTCAAGTAGCGTCACCAACAACCGCACAGCTCGCGCCAGACCTGGTTTTGTTGGGTGTCTGAGGGACACAAACCACATGAAGCACATTGGTTACCAAAGCAGCGATCGTCAAAACCGGCAGGAATTGATTTCACATGACTAATGATAGACTGCATCCGTAGTGGCGTAGCGGCTGCGGAGCCACAATCCACTGCCCCACTCAAATCGTTAGAGACGGATTTTGGCTGGCCAATTTGTGGCACAGCGTTGCAAGAAAACTTGGGTCCGGGCGTGCTAGTCTGAACATGCGCACCAGCATCAACCTGTTGATTCCAAATCACGAGAAACAGTTCAAGTCTATGTCTATGTCTATATGGGTTCATCTAATTTTCAAAAAAAATGATCTAAAATGAGAGTATAGCCTATGTTGGACAAACCCATACAAGTCTCCTATCCGTCTAAAAGCCAGGCTACCCAAAACCATCTTCTCGACAAAGCTGCATGCCAATTGCCATAGTGTTAATCTATTTGTGAATGGAATGATGCCATCACCAGAACTACGCTGCCACCAATACTACAATGGAGATAAATGTCACTAGAGCACATTACACACCAGGGCTCTCGAGGGCTCTTGTGCATCCAATGAATCTCCTCATTAAAAGCCAACTCCCTTCGGATTGCCACTTACTTTGTATACAGCTACGTGTTAAACTTCAAATCACTGCATGTTGCCAAGACACAACCTAAGTCTTGAACTGTCGCAACAGAAACTAAAGGCTGTCACTTACCTATTGCCCACTGCAAACAAACGAATTGTGAGTGGTTTATCTAGTCACCCAGTCACCCTATAGTCTTCCAACGGTCAGGGCATTTCACAAGCCAAGCAGCTGTTGTAAATACTCGTTCTCAAATTGCACCTGCAAGTCGCGAGGCGCTGGCCATAGCTGTTGTGGAATAATCATCGTTTTTTCGCTGGTTTCTGGCAGGCTCATCATCCCATGGATGCAAAAATGCAAAACAAAAAACAATATATAAGTCACTCAAAACATATTCGAAACCGCCAAGCAGCTGGTTCACAATTGCATCCTACATCCTCAAATTCAGCCACTACTTGATAACGGCAACCACACCACCCATCAACGCCCATGGTTCCGCTTCAAAGGTGGCCTGTGCCAGCACCACGTCTACGATGGCAGACAGCACCAGGAAGCAGTCTAGGCGGACCCAGTTGCCTCAGACTTTGACGGTGAACTTCACCCGTTGAGCTCCTCAAGTGTGTTGAATTTCTTATGTCTCCAATCTTGTGTTGAGGAACAATACGACAATATGGATCAAAAGAAAGTCATGATTCTGGTGAAAACTGGTCAAAATATGTCGAAACATGTCAAAACATAGGGGTTGCCACAAAAGTTCTGGCCAAAATGGATTAAGATTGCTGGCAACATGTGGCGTTGCCATCCCCAATTGGCAACAATATCTTTTTCAGGATGTTCCTGATTGGTGGTTTCAATCCTTCCATTTTGGGCGATGGAACTATGGCAGTGATTGAAATGATCAGTCACTTTCATTGGACATGTAATCACATGTGTATAGTGTATATATATAGAGAGAGAGAGCGCGGGGGTTGCTGGCCTGTACCATATACAATTATTATATGAATACAATGTATGTTATGTATGTTGATATATGTTAATAATATATGTACCATAATTATTCCTGTTTTTCATGGTAGCTTCATGTTTTTTAATCGTCGTTTCTGGCACCAGGCCGTCTTCACATCCCCGACCACCCCGACTCAGCTTCTCACTCCGCAGCACCGGGCACCTGCCGCGGTGTTGCTACAATCCGAAGCATTTATTGCTTTATCATTTGGAAGTTTTCATAAATGGAGATGCCGCAAAAAGGAAAATCCTATTAAAGTGGATGATTTGGGGATACCCCTATTTTTGGAAACCCCCATTTGGGGTGGATGATAATTGGGTCCACTTAATATATTGGTTCAGCTCCTTCGAATTTGATTCCTCTATCCCTGCACACATGCAAAATCCTATCCCAGCGATTCTGCAAAATCCTATCATCTGAATCATATCACGATATCATATCAGATCATACCGGAAGATACCTTCAAAAGAATCCAACGTTCCATTTTCGTGGCCATCCCTGTTCTCAGCACTGGCCTGAAGACGTAGAAGCGCAAGCTGAGCTCGATGCAATAGACCACCAAGAAAAACCATTCCAGAATATCGATCCAGGTTGGCACCCTTGGCAGGATGTTCCAACTGAAGTTAGGATCTATGGGTAAGTCATGTGAAATCTTTAGTGTGTATTATATATATATAATTGATACTAACTGATTATAATTAATTGTATATCCCTTTGAAATATGTTGAAATATCCAAGTCTTATGCGGCCCCATATGGGCAGCCATATCATGATAGATACCGCCTGGCCAGTTACATCCTCGAGACACTCTTCAGGAGCGTCACGGAGCTTCAATGCGTGGACTCATTATGAATCAATAGTTTCAAGAGTGCCCCTTCATTATCAGCTCATGTCAAGTTGGCGTCAGAGTCATAGATAGTCAAGCTGGCTATATAGACCATATATGCCCATATAAACCCGCAATAAAGCCATATAAACCATTATAAACCCATAGAAACCCATACACATATTTAAAAAAAAACTAGCAGAAAAAAAAACGGGTGGGAATGGCTGAATGGCCTTCCAGGACTTCACGGGTAGAAACCAAGCTGCTCAAAGCACACGGTGTTTGGGATCTTGCAACCACATCTTGAGTTGCAGCCCAAGGGTATCTTGGCCTGGCCACAGATGGGCTTATCTTTGTTTCAGAGAGGTCTTGTTCACGTTGACTCAAGCTTCTGCTCTTAACTACTCAATACATGACTGGCTCACGGATGCTTGCGCTTGAATGCCAATGGTCATGCCATTGACCATGATGACTACTCCGATCCTTGACACCAGGCTGCATGATGCTGAGCAAACCAGATCAGCAGTTATCCTCTGCGCCGCAACCTCCGATCATTCCACACCTCACATCACCTCACTATGATGACATGCAACGACCACGTCTCTGGTGCTTGCCAAATGGCGCAGTGTCGAAGCCATTCCAAACAACCAAGTCGTGACATTTTCTCCTGGCGAAGCAACAGGGGATTGTCTGCCTGTCTTTTTCGGTGCTTTTCAGCATCAAAAACGCCCTGTCAACAGCGCGAATCCTGGAATGACTGAATTAGCTCCTTTCAACTCCGTTTGCTTGAAGTCCGAGTTGCAAGGGTGGCTTCAGGGTATGCAACCAAAAGAATGCTGACACGTTGCTTTCAAAGGAAGCAAACGAGGCTTCAGCCACGACAGCCACGGTCACGGTGAGTTGTTTCGGTTGTTTCTCCTGAACCAACTAAAGCTCTCAAGGTCGTAGCCTTTTCCGGCCTTCGCACGCAACGGTCAGCTGCTTCGGCTTGTTTTCCAATGGCTTCCCCTACCCTGAAAGAACTGTGAAGTAGAAACTGAAACATAGAACATGAATAAAAATGCCGTTTCTACTGCTAGTGCAATTCTTCCGCTTTCATCATATTGGTTTTAGTTTACCTGTTAAATTGCCCTAAATTGCAAGGTAAGTCCCCTATTTTCAGACACACCCAGATCAGTATGGTTAAAATCCAATGATCCCATAGAACAATCATAGAATATATCCCGTTTATTTTCCATTTATGAGCAATATCCCCATTTCCACAAAATCATAGAATATATCCCATTTATGGATGGGGATTTATGATATAGTATATCCATCTTTCAGTATCTTCATCTTCCCCCATCCACTCGGTGCCGGAAAGAAAAAGCCATGCGCCTTCTTCATGGATGCTATTCGCAGGCCTGGAGGCTGAGAGTTTATCGATATCCTCCGTATCTATCTATATAAAAGAAGTACAAGAACCTCTACATATAGTCTGTATCTATGTAATGTTCTGTAATGTAGTGTAATTGTTCATGCAGTGCAATGTAATATAGTGTAATGCAATCCAATGTGATGTACGGTAATGTACCGTGTACTCTGTACACTGTAATGTAATGTATGCCGTAATGTATGTAATGTATATAATGTAGGTCATGTAGGTAATGCATGTAATGTATGTATTGTATGTATTGCATGTATTGTATGTAATGTATGCAATGTATGTAACATATGTAATGTAACTATGTAATGTAGTATTTAATGTATGTAATGCATGTAATGCATGTAATGCATGTAATGTCATTTGATGTACGAGTATGTATGCAATGTATGTAATGTATGCAACATACTTAATGTATGTGCTGTATATAATATTATATAATGTAATGTAACCCAACATAACATACCGCAATGCAATGTAATCTAATGAATCTAATGCAATGCAATCTAAGGCAATGAAATGACATGTCATGTCATTGTACTGCACTGTACTGCAATGTAATGTACTGTACTGTATGCGTGCATGCATGCAAGTATCTCTATGTGCATACATATCTATACACATTGTGTCTGTATACATGTATCTGCGACCTGGACTCAATATGTGGGCATATATATGTATATATATATATATACATGCATACAGATCATGCAGAAACAAGCAGTCCAATGAAACGGTCTCCCCCTGAGCAAATTCCATGGCGAGAGGCCAATATTTTCCTCCAAGACTTCCCCTCGATCAATCTCTTCCTCTTCCCTGGTCCTTTCTACATGGGCATCATCTCCTCAGCCGGGATCTTGATGGATCTTGGCGACCAATGGATTTATGTTGATGAAATCCACGTCATTCCACGTCCATCTCTCCCAAGCTTGAGTATACAGCACATACATATATATATATAGGATATTATAGGATTATATAGGAAACCAATGGTAGACCATAGATGCACGTACAGTATGTGTGTGTGCCTGTGTGCTCGGTCTCCAGTCGGCATGAACCATATCGTCATCGACCCTCTTTCTGACCGGAGTTGAATTACATTCCACAGTCCCAAGAAGTTGCGAAGACACTGGCTATATGCTGTGATTTGGGATTTAAGATGCTTTAAGTTTAAAGCCTTTGGGTCTAAGTTAAACTTTTCTGGGCTTAGCTTCTGGGTTTAGATTTCGAGGGTTTTGGCTTTTCAAGGTACGGAAGTACGGAATTGCTGCGCACAGCAACCCTTACTGTGCCTGTCAGCACAAAGACTCGGCTGGATGCAGTGGGCAAACTGGGATGTTGGTCGGTAATGATACAGTCCATGTTCGATCAATGCATCCAAAGCTGGTTCCACGTGCGGAAATCGGGCGGTTTTAGTTAATTAAAAACGCACCAATGTGATGTGCAAACGAAACTTGGGTCTACTGCAAGTGTAAGAATCACCATCATGATCCATCAACGATCAGACATCAGTCGACATCTGCAGCAATTTCTCAATGGGTCAGGCAACAGCTCATAAAAGAAAATGGGATGCTTCTGAGCCGCATCAAACTACAACATCACTGCCAAATCAAACAGACCCATCCTCATCATCAATGCCCCATCAGCGGGATTGTGAAGGATTGATCTTTGCCAGAGGGTCCAACCAGGAGGATTGAAGGCCATGTTTGATGCTTGCCCCCTTTTTGAAGCCAGCGTTTACGCAAGTTTACGCAGTTTGGCCGCTTGGGGGAATTCAATTTGGGCGTGCTGGAAAATCATCCAAATACTTATTCACACATCCTCAAACATCAGAAGGATACCTTTTTGGAAACCAGAAAATCAATTTGGCCAAGTATCTCATGGCCTTCAAAGCTTCCTTCCCTCTTTTGGTGCCTCCATCAGACAAGTTGGACTCTTTGGTTCCTGCCAGCAGGTCAAATACGTTGAATGAGGAGCCAAAATCATGGGCCGCCGGCTGTATTCCTAACATGCTCTTATGTATATAAAAGAAACATACATAATTGCATGTGTATAGTGTTACATACATATGCACGTATACATGTGTGTGTGTATGTGTGTGTGTGTCAGAATTGTGAGCATCAAAGTCAAGATCAGCAATCAGAATGCTTCAAACCCACATTGTGGTGCCTCTGTGTGCTGCTCTGTTTTTACACCAAACAACTACAAAAATGTACCTGGAGAGCGGACATATCTGGTCACTTGAGAAAGATACACTAAATGAATATCGCATGTCAGCATGTCAAACAGTATATGCCAGCCACACATATATGATATGGTTTCCTCCTGCAGGACTCCTGATTGGTTGATATGGTTGATTCATAGCAAGCTAATCGACATTTCACTGCTACAATCCTATAAGAAAGCTTGCCCGCAGATTTCAATTGATGACACGTCAATCTAAATTCTGGCCACCGTAAAAGACCCCTGCCACACGGAGGATTAAGTGGAGCTGTGCTACTTGATTCAGAAGTGTGGGAAGTGAAAGAGCAAGTATTGCACCCCTCCAAAATACAGCCTACTTTTTGACACTTTGTCTTCCTAGATAAGTTTGTCTCTAACTTGCAGACTTGCGGCTTGCAGGCCAAACTAAGTTATCTTCAAAGCGTCAGCTTTGAAAAAGGAGGAACAAAAATGAAAAAATGGTGATCCCCATTTCATACATTGTCCCCAATATTCACAACTGTTGCAGTCACAGTGCCTCGTAAACGACTTTTCCTCGGATCGGGGCTGAGTTGGTTCCTGGCGCGAAGCATTGAAAGTCGTCTGAAAAAAAAATGATGATTAGATTGGGCATGTCTTGTGGAGTGGTCCATCAAATCATATTAAGCAAGTACCAGCTTTTGAGACGCATAATGTGAAAGGTACCTGTACAAACTTTTGGTTTCAACGAGAGACTGAGATCGAAACCGGCTTTGTTCTCTCACCCGCGGCAAGCTTGAACTGCTGAATCCGTTTCAGATTGGATGATGTTTGCCAAGCACTTGTGGAACTCTCAACTGCCACCCTTGAACACCCCCCAACATACACCAACAACAATAAACTGCACTAGAACTACAGGTTTACTACGGCCGCCCTGACATGGTTTACTCTTTATGGTGAAATCAACTCAAAATTCCATCGGGGTACTCCGGAGGTCCCAAAAACTGAGTAATTGCCCAATTGCCCACAATCCCATTTTTGATCGTCATTTTCCCAGCAGTATTTCCCAATGAAAAACACCTAAAACTGCCAAAAAAAAAAATTGGGCCCCAAATTTTGAGGTACCAATCCCACAGAAAGTTCCCCAAAAAAAAAAATCGAGCATTTTGCGCACCTGGAATTCACTCTCAAGACCGTGTCCTTGAGGTCGTCCGCTTCAAGAGAGTCCTGAAGATTTCGTGGAATTTGATCATTGTTCCATCATGTTCCATCCCTTTTTTCGGTGGAAAAATGCTAGAAAATATGTTCGAAACCATGTTACCAGTGGTGTGAAAAACAAAACCTACAGGAAAAATTAAGTGACTCAATTAAGACCATCATCAGAGTTTGGAGAGAAACTGATGAAACTGACAGCTAGACCAAAGTCCGAATCCGCCAGAACTTTGACTGGTTCCATCCCCATTCTCCTCAGCATCTTCTTCCTGGAGCACCTCGTGGATTGGCCAATAAAGATGGGGATGGGTCAATTTTTTTAGTTTCACTATTGAGAAACAAACAAAATTTGACAGATTCATTCCCAAAAATGACCAAGACTCGACTGTTCAAAACTTGGATATGACGAGATTGGCTGCTAAATGGCACGCAAAATCAACAAAAATATGTGGTTTACTTGATTGAAGAGTGCAGGCCAAGAAAGGCCAAGAAATGAATTCCTGAAAATCATCAGGGCCTATGTGGGTTTTTCTGTCGCACTAATTTGATCCAAACATATCTTGAGTGTCTACCAGTAGTGCCGCACAAGGCGGTGGCGGAAGTTTCAGAATAAGGAACCTATAGAAGAGTTTGGTTGTTGTGAATCACGGATGGCAGAGCGAATCCACTGATGGACTGAAAGGTGGTTGGAGTTGTGTTTTTTGGAGTGGTTACGATGGTTGCAATGGCCACGTGGTCGGTCACCTCACCCACAACTGCTGGATGTAGTGTGGTGTAGTGCAGCTGTAGCTGTAGTTGTAGTGTAGTGGAGTTGTAGTTGTGGTGTAGTGTAATTAGCGTAGTGTAGTTGCAGTGGCATTTGTGGTGGTGTAATGAGTGTAGTGTAATGTACTGTAGGGTACTGTAGTGTAGTCTAGTGTAGTGTAGTGTAGTGTAAAGTAGCGTAGTTGTAGTTGTAGCTGTGGCTGTAGTTAGTGTAGTGTAGTATAGTGTAGTGTTGTAGTGTAGTGCAATGTAGTGCAGTGTAATGTAGCGTAGTGTACTGTAGAGTGGAGTGTAGTGTAGTGTAGCGAAGTGTAGTGTAGTGTAGTGTAGATGTAGTGTGGATGTAGTGTGGAGTGTGGAGTGTAGCGTAATGTAGTGTAGTGTAATGTAGTGTAGTGTAGTGTAGTGTAGTGCCGTTGTAGTTGTAGTTGTAGTTGTAGTTATACTTATAGTTGTAATTGTAGTTGTAGTTGTAGTGCAGTGCAGTGCAGTGCAGTGCAGTGTAGTGTAGTGTGGTGGAGTGGAGTGGAGTGGAGTGGAGTGTAGTTGTAGTTGTACTTGTAGTTGTAGCGGTAGTTGTAGTTGTAGTTGTAGTTGTAGCTGTAGTTGTAGTTAGTGTAGAGTAGTGTAACGTAATGTAGTGTAGTGCAGTGCAGTGTAGTGCTGTGTTGCGTTGTGTTGTGTTATTGATGTTGATGTTGATGTTGATGTTGTAGCTGTAGTTGTATGTAGTGGTAGGTGTAGGTGTAGGTGTAGGTGTAGGTGTAGGTGTAGGTGTAGGTGTAGTGTAGTGTAGTGTAATAGAGTGTATTGTAGTGCAGTGAAGTGCAGTGAAGTGTAGTGAAGTGTAGTGTAGTGAAATTGGTGTAGTGTAGTTAGTGTACTGTAGTGTACTGCAGTGTACTGTATTGTACTGTAGTGTACTGTAGTGTACTGTGGTGTACTGTAGTTTACTGTAGTGTACTGTAGTGTACTGTAGTGTACTGTAGTTTACTGTCCTGTACTGTAGTGTACTGTAGTTTACTGTCCTGTACTGTAGTTTACTGTAGTTGTAGTTGTAGTTGTAATTGTAGCGTAGTGTAGTGTATTGTAGTGTAGCGTGTGTAATTGAGTGTAGTGTAGTGTAGCGGAGTGTAGTGTAGCGTCATGTAATGTAATTAGGGTAGTGTAGCGTAGTGTAATGTAATGTAGTTGTAGTTGTAGTTTTGTGTTTGCAGTGGAGTGTAGTGCAGTGTAGTGTAGCGGTGGTTGTAGCTGAAACTGGTACAAAAACCACGTTTGACAAGGTGCACAATTCCCTGCACCTGCCACGCAAAACGACATCTGAACGTCCAAAAGTGGTTCAAACCCCTGGTGCTTTTAACATTTTGACTTCGAAATGTGCTTCGCGCCACAACGGCGTGCACTTTTTCGACATGTCAACTTCCAAAAGCGGTCCGAGCATGGTGTGTTGTGCACATTTTGACTTGGAAATGTGCTTGGCGCCACAACGACGTGCAGCTTTTTATCTCTCATCTGGCCAGATGGCTCCGCACCCGCCGCTTTAGCGAGCCTACTTTTCGATCCTCCGGAGCCACAAATCATTGGAAAAACACAGTGTTTCGCGATTTTCCTACCTTTTCGCGCTCCTGGATCTTCTTTCTTCTGGGACTTTCTCTTCTTTGATTTTCTTTTTCTTCTCTTCTCTTGTCTTCTCTGACTCTTCCCATCTCTGCTTTTTCATCTGTCGATATTGTCGGAAGTTTGATTTCTAAACTTCCTTCGATGATTTAGTATGTATACAAAAAAAGAAAAACATCTTCCTCTGCATGGATGGGTAGACACCATTTACCGGCAGTCAGTTCCAGTCGTGACTTTGTGGCTAAAAGTACTAGCATCATCACAAATACAGAAAATGGAAACCATGGAAGCTACAGTTTGCTACCTTTCCAGCATGTCCAATCTTTCTACTGCCACTGTGTCCACCTCCACTGGAGAGGATAGCGTCGGAGGAAGTTGAGGAGGCGTTGGCGCGGCAGAAGCAGACTGAGGGCGGCTACTCATCCTCGGCAGGGTGAGTTCTTGGATGATAAGATCATTCGGGGAGATCTGGAATACCCCATACAAGATGGCCCTCTCATGGAAAAAAGTTGTTAAACCATAAGGTTTTGGAGTAGTATCGACCTTTTTTGATGGTCAATCCCCGTTTTAATGGGAGTGGTTTTTTCTGGTTGATACCAATGGCTCATGGTTGATCGACTTACTTGCGATTAAGAGCAAAAAATTGGGAATTTCTTCATTGAATGAATGATGATGGACCATTCCCCATGATCCCTGAATAGAACCACAAAAAAATAAACCATGGGGTGGATAAGTGGGATATAATGGGATTTATGGTGGATATGCCTACAGCTGAATGGGTTTCCGAACCAGCTTATAACTGGGGGGTCCACTTTGTGTGATTTCCCAATTTGGGTTTGTCCAAAAATATGGGGTACCCCCAAGATCCAGTTGTTTAAAACCTACCCGTCAATAAATTAACATAGATACGTAATCCAATTTGTGACTATGTTCTAGTTGGTTGTATATGCCATCAACTCCCCATGAATATCCCATTTCAAATCCTACTAATGGACCAGGACTGAAATATTCCAAAGGAACAGTTACAAAAAAAAAACTAACTCTAGAGTTTAGTCCTGAAGCACTGGCTGCTCCATAAGGGTTCCTACAAGACACCGTGTTAGCCCAAGTGTCGATGCTTCACTCTCCGTATCAGTGGAGCTATGTGCATCACGCCGATCCGCCCATCTCTCCTGGATGGGGACCAGGAAGAATGATCCCATGTCATATATATATATACATCTGCGGAAGCAGGTAGCCAATCCAACTATCAGAACAGGGGAGTGGATGCCCCAACAACCAATAGACGACCTTCAGGTGGAAATGGGATGAGTATCCTCACAACCAATCACGCAACGCCCAAATCCCAAGCCTATGGCTTCACACATCGTGTTTTGTCCAATGCCACGAAGTCTGGCATCAAGGGCCCTTTGGACCGAGACAGCCACGAGGATACATTCATGAGAAGGTGACCCACTGGAAAGTGGCAAGGCAACGTCTCAAATTCACACACCCTCTATCCGAGAGGGTGCAGAACATTCCAAAGGCTCTTTCATTTCATCCTCATAGATCGCCATCATCAGACAGCTGCGACCACATCTTTGGACTCAGTTTCGGAGCACGCGGCGGAAGGTGCCCTGAGTAATGCCAGATCCATTGAACTTCACACGCACAAGGAAATGTGCAAAGTCAACTCCCTGGGTGTGACTTTTGGCCTTCTGGGTCTTGGCATACGGTCCAAAGTTCGCCAGCATGAACTCGCCATACTGGGACAGGTCTGTGTCCCCCTCCGCCTTAATGATGAACTCCGCATATGTGAGGTTCAACTTTGCAACCTTCGGCAACTTGATCACGGTGCGAGACCATTCCTCAACCGTAAGAGTACCAACAGGAAGAGGCACTTTGAGATCTTCCCCATTGCGGAGAATGAAGACCATGTTGTCACCAGGCATCGGAGTTCCAGCTGCATGGCTGCCACTCAGCATCGGCGGGCACGGGATTCACGGCATTGGCATAAGTATGCAGTGGTGGGGCTGTCAACCTCAACTTGGCTCTCTGTAAAAAGGCCACATTCGGACTCATCATCACGCTGACGTTTGGATCCGTCAGACATGGCTCCATACTGGCCACTGTGCACACCATCCATGAAACATCCGGCTGCTACAGACAGCGACTTTCCACCAATGGATCGCATGATCCTCATGGCAAACTGTTGCTGCTGGCTACGGTGCACGGCATGGGCTAACACGCCACCCGCAATGCCCATCTCATTATCACTTAGAGGACCCCGCACGCTCGAAGACATTGGAGCTGGCGCTTCGCCGGGCTTGGCATCGCCATGGTTGGACGCTATGTGGGAGCACGTCACGCTCTGGCTTGATCTTGGAAAAACACTCAGAAAAACAACCATTGTCTTTTGACACATGGTGGCTCTGAAAAACGGCTGGACTCTATTTATATCTTACCCCTTATGGCTTACCTTATCACATTAATCTATACACTATATATATACACATCATGCTATCCGGGCGTGCAAAGGATATATCACAGGCTTCACTGATTATCACACTCTTCTAAGGATGGCACTTTCGGCAAATGGAAGGCCTGCTCCAGCTTTTTCACGACGACCGGAAACAGTGCAAACTTTGATTTGGCAAAAAAAACGTCTCCAAGATTTCATAAAGGATTTTGGTTTCCCCACGAAGCTTGGTCAGACAGTTTGCGGCCATGCGTAGGTTGTTAACACAAAACGGCAGCATGTGTTGTTTCTTCATCGTTTCTTCTTTGGCTATGGCATACTCAAGTGGCAATTGCTTGGGAGCAGCAACTTCTGGTGATAGCATCATAGAACCCTTTTGAATCTATGACCAAAGCAGCAGGCTTTGAGGGTGTCATCTCACGAAATTGTCTGGGGGCTATTCCATCTAAAGTTTCCAACATGAGCGCTTGGAACAACTCTGTAGCATCGAGGCCATTCTGACCAGACAAAGCTTCAGCTGCGACTGAACTGCGAACTGCACGTTTCAGCTTTTTGGACGACCAGTCTACCAGCCAACATTGTGCATGTTTTCGGTCAAGCATTGCGCTTTCGGCAATCAGCAACAGGTATCCCCCTTGGCTATCGCCGCTATCACGGGTTGCCCAACCGGCATCAGCAATGCACACAAGCGGCCAGTCGGAAATTGGGACTGTGCCTGGGGGAATCTCAGGCAAACTTTCTTTTCTTTAATACAACTGAACATGGGAGACAAGACCTTTATCCTGAACACCTTGCAAGTAACTGGATAAGAAGGCATGGTCGGGTCGTGTTGCATTGGAAACCCGTGCTAGCTGACCAGCGCACGTTCGCAACATGGACTTGTCAGGCAGTGGAGTGCTCGCTGAACCCAGTGGTTATGTTTGAACACACTCCATGGCATCTATGTAGGCTTCTTGGCCAATCTCTATTTCAAAAGTATTGGAGTTTTGCCTAACCTCTATGCCAGTGTAGCGTATGGTGAAAGTTCTGTAGTCCCCAAAAGGCAGTTTGGTACGAAACTGGTTGAGAATTGTATTCATGGCCGGTGTTCCTCCTCCTAAGAGGTCATCAACATGTATACCACATATACCACATAGTTTTCCTGTGACTCTGAGGGTGAATAAGCAAGGGTCTATTTGACTTTGGCACGGCCCTGCATCTCGCATTTCACGGCTCAAACACAAAAAACATGCTCTTGGAGCTTCTGCCAAACCGCATGCAGCTTTCTCAAAACTAAACAAATCATCATGGCTAAGTTGCAACCATTCCTTAAGCTCAGCTGGAGGTTTGAAGTAGATCTCTCGCAGAGAGGAACGCTGTCTTTATGTCAGCCCCAAACACTTTCCATCGGTTTGCAGCAAGGCTAAATGTTTGCTCTCTTTTCGGAGTGTTGGACTATCAGCTGCTATTTTCCCCAATTCGGGGTCTTCCCAACCAATCAGCACAAGTCTAGCTTTAGGAACACGGGACTTGTCATCTGGATCAGAACTCTTTTCCAGGTGAGTACCCATCTGGCTCTGATTATGCGATCTGGGGATAGGGAGGCATTCCTCTTGAACACTTTTGCCAGTATTCATTTGATCTGGATATTCTCCATTCTCATTCTTATTTTTCGAGGACTGCCCTCTTCATCAGGGATTTTCCCAGGGTCTAGGCTCATGCCGGACATCATCCTCTAACTCCTCATCAGATTAGATTCCTTAGGATTTTGATTTTCATCCATGAGATCATGATATTGAAGGGCTCGGCTAGACAGGCTCTGCTCAGCATTTTCTATGGCAGGGTCTAATCTACCTTGGGACAAGAACCCGGCTAGCTCCCTGAACTGACTTTCATCTTCATTCATCAGACGGAGACCTTCAAGGGAGCATCTGTAGGGAAGCCCATTGAAAGCTACCCAAACGACTCTAGGAATGACACCATTTGTGGGACTCTCCCAACCAATTACTTTCCCAGCGCCATACCAAACACCATGACGAGTGGACAGGAGACCCCTTGCTCTTTTACGGAAAAAGTAAGCTGGCCAACTGTGTATGGACCCTGCATCGGCCGGGATCAAGTGCACGGCGCCAAGTGTCTTTGGCATGTTCTTCCAGGAAGGCACGAGCTGCATTCTCCCGCAACTGGACACGAGCTTGGAACCTTGGTTCGGCTAAGATCTGAGATTGCATTGGGAAGTCCCGTTGTTCTTCAACATCGTTCAACATATCTGCATGTTTGCTGTCTTGACCTAGGAACCATTGACAAGGGCTGAACCCATGCTTTCTGAGTTGTTGGTTTCGGATGCTTGCGCATGCTTCGATGACTTCTGCAGCTGGACGGTCAGTGTCTTGCCAAACTCTTTGGGCCATTCCTCGAAGGACACGGTTGGCTATCTCTACGCGACCTAATTGCCAGTGGCTTTCGGCTCCACAATGCAGCAGCTTGATGTCATGGTTGAGAATGTAGTGTTCAAAGTCTTTTGACATCGTGGCACTGTCTGGATCAGATGATTTTTGGTGCGCCATACGGTCGAGCCCAAACACTGTGGAAGGCTGTGGAAAGCTGGTAACTACCCTTAGGGCCTATGATTTGTTGGGCAAAGTCAGTGGCTAAGTCAACAAGTTGGCACATCGTACTTTCTTCAATTGTATCCCCTTGGTCGTTAACATGCTTTAACTCAACTTGCACAAAGTCAATGCCAGCGATGTGGTTCGGCTGCTCTGCATGTGGGACAGCAGACTGACGATGTGAGGTGGAACCTTGTGCTCATCGCAGATGTCGCATTTGAACTTCTTGATTTCTTGTTTGCTTCTTCTGAAACTTGACAACGATTGGCAAGTCGGAGCATCTGCTGAATGGACGAATGTCCTGTGTTGACATGCAGCTTTCTCAACATGGATTGAATCCTCTGCTGCGGCACTGGTGGTTCCGCCGGATTGGAAAG